TGAGGGAGTTAAAAAATTCCATGATTTTCCCAGATGATTGGGGTTTGCTGATCAGATGTGAAGTACTTGACTGGTAAACCAGAGGTTGTATTGTCAAAGATTTGATGATTTGACTGGTCAAATCACGGGCAATAAATACCATCCAGATCTGGTCACAGGCAAAGTGTCACGACGGTCCATTTCTAAACATCACCGAGAGGCTGAAAAAAAACAACAACATGTTCATTGTATATACCCTCTGGTTATGACTAACATAGCCATTGGAAATGACCCATAGAAATATATGGTTTACCTATTAATAGCATTGTGATTTTCCATGACTATATAACCAGATGGTAATGATGTCAGTTTTGGATTCCGCAAGAATTCCCATTTGATGGTTGTTTAAAAGTGTTTGCTTGCTTCCAAACAGTGCTTTTATGACATGTATGACGGTAGGTAGCGGTAGGTATTAGATAGTACGGCTGAATATGTTGCCAATATATTGGGAATATCATGGTTATCTAAGCTTGGCAATGAGAATGGAAGTTTCCGAAAAAATGAATGTCTATGGGTGGTTACCCCTTGAATTCCTCCATTAATAAATGGGATTTTTCATATTATAATATATATATATATGATATATAGATAAACCATCCATTTATTGGGGGGTACCCCCTTGACTATGGAACCCCCCAATGAAATACCGGAGCAGGTGCAATGCGAAAAAAATAACGATCAATCCCTGATTTGCGATGTGCCTCGGACTGTGGCGCCTGCGCTGGGCCTTTTTAAAGATTCATAAGATAGATTTTTCTTGAGCAGCAGGCAGGCTTCTGTCTGAAAAAATAGAATGTAAACATAGATTTCAACAACATACATTGAAAAACCAAAGACCAAGAAAAAAAACAACTATAGTTAAGCCTGATTTTCAAACAAAAGCGAGAATAATTGAAGAATTGAAAAATGTAGATGATTTCTCGATATTTTTCCCCACCTGCCAGGTGAGGGTTGTTAGATTTTATCTAAGTTGCCTCCTCCTCCTCCTCCTTCTCCTCCTCCTCTCCTCCTCCTCTCGTCGTCCTCCTCCTCTCGTTGTCCTCCTCCTCTCGTTGTCCTCCTCGTCTCGTCGTCCTCGTCGTCCTCGTCCAACTGCGACTCGCGATCCACAGTGTTCGCTGTCGGACCTCAACCACGACCATCCACGCCCAGTGTTCCCTGCCGGACCTCAACCACGACCATCCACGCCCAGTGTTCCCTGCCGGACCTCAACCACAACCATCCACGCCCAGTGTTCCCTGCCGGCCCTCAACCACGACCATCCACGCCCAGTGTTCCCTGCCGGACCTCAACCACGACCATCCACGCCCAGTGTTCCCTGCCGGACCTCAACCGCGAGTATCCATGCCAAGTGTTCCCTGCCGGACCTCATGTAGGAATGTCAGATAGACTGCCAGATAGAATGCCAGATAGAATGTCAGATAGGATGCCAGATAGAATGCCAGATAGAATGCCAGAAAGAATGCCAGAAAGAATGCCAGATAGAATGCCAGATAGACTGCCAGATAGAATGTCCAGATGTCAGATATAATGCCAGATAGAATGCCAACATATATGCCAGAATATATGTCAGATAGAATGCCAAAATATATGTATAATGCCAGATAGAATGCCAGAATATATGCCAGAATATATGTCAGATAGAATGCCAGAATATATGTCAGATATAATGCCAGATAGAATGCCAACATATATGCCAGAATATATGTCAGATAGAATGCCAAAATATATGTCAGATATAATGCCAGATAGAATGCCAGAATATATGCCAGAATATATGTCAGATAGAATGCCAGAATATATGTCATATATAATGCCAGATAGAATGCCAACATATATGCCAGAATATATGTCAGATAGAATGCCAAAATATATGTCAGATATAATGCCAGATAGAATGCCAGAATATATGCCAGAATATATGTCAGATAGAATGCCAGAATATATGTCAGAATAAATGACAGGTAGAATGCCAGAATATATGTCAGATGAAATGTCAGAAAATATGTCAGATAGAATGCCAGATAGATTGCCAGATAGAATGCCAGGTGGAATGTCAGGATATATGCCAGATAGAATGCCAGAATATATGTCAGATAGGATGTCAGAATATACTAAATATATGTCCAAATATACGTCCTGACATGTCATGGTGGGGATCACACGAAGTAGAGTAATTTTTTTTTCTAGCAGCTGACCATGGTCATGCCCAACACCAACAGCTGCTGCTGTGGAGCACGTCCTGTGAGCTGCTGTAAGATGTTGTAAGTATTTGTTTTGGATACTTTCTTTAGGTGCCTGCATTTGTTTCTTTATGGCTCCTGTTTGTTTTTCTGCATATACTTTATTTTGACCTACGCTGTGAAATCTACTAGTTTGTCACCCAAATTCATCACAAAACGAGCCATGTGGATGGCTGCAGTTACGTGATTCAATACAATTTGCTGAATATCCTCTCAAACTGGATTTCAATCTAAAACACTTGGTTTGCAAGCATCCTAAACCTTATTCCGCGTGATTCCCTTATTTCCTTGAATTATGAACGTTTACATCTATGAGACATATATACATTGACATATGTATAAAGATAGATTAGATTAGATTGGAACTGATTAGATTAGATTAGATTATTTAGATTAGATTAGATGGATAAATAGAAATATAGAAAGAACGAAATAAAAAGGACAGAACAAAAGAAAGAAAGACAGATATATATATATATATATCGATAGATTAGATTAGATTAGATTAGATTAAATTAGATAGATAGATAGATAGATAGATATATAGATAGATAGATAGATAGATAGGTGTCTAAACACACACTTGTATGATTAATATAATGTATGTATATATATATATTATCATTTATTATATATATATTAGTTTTTATACATATACATAATCATACATATTATATGAGATGATATTCTCATCCATAGTTCATCTTGTCAGTTTTTTTTAATCACCGAAGTAACATGGAGGCATCCGGACAAATGGCGTACCTCGTGTGGTGTCCGAGATTTCTGCCGCGATGACTGGGTGTAGCAGTTTGTGACATATTACCCTCTGGTAAACATACAAAAAGCTAATGAAAATTGCCAAAGAAATAGTGGATTTATCCATTCAAAATGGTGATGTTCCATAGTTTTTTGTATGTTTACCAGAGGGTAATTGGGACAACATGAAATTCAATTACCCTCTGGTTATTGAACAGTTTGCCATGGTATAGATGGTCCATAGAAATAGATGGTTTACCTATTAAACATAGTGATTTTCCATGGCTATGTTAAATAACCAGATGGTAAGGGATTTATAAGAATTTTCACAATGTTATACACTTTGAACATCGTCTGTGCTAAGGAAAATTTAAGGTTTTGCAGCAATGGATTTTTTGGGGTGCTCTTGTAGCCCAGCTCCCGGTCCCAATGCGCTAATTAACGCTAATGTTCCAGTGGTCCATTATGAAAATGACACCTAATTACCCTATCCATTAGTGAAGATATAAACAATATAACTAATATCTACATAGAGATATAATATAGTATGTATGTGTCTATATTGTTAGTGAATATAAACATCTATTGAGATACATTATATTATATATATATCAATATATTAATCGGATATCCACAAGATATTGCAGAAATTACATCTATGGATCGTGATATTGAATAATCATCATTCTTGGAAATCCCCTTTGACCAACCAGTATAGTGGAATGACCATTCGGGTTTTGAACACTGCTCAAATGCCATAGTGAGAACGCAGGGAGAGAAAAACGGGAAACCACCATGTGCCGCCATGATGCCTCCATGAGATCCAGAAGAGGATGTCACAGAATGTCCATGTGTTTCTCAAAGTTGGAGACTCGGCATAGATGTAACATGTATCTATATATTATATGTATCTATGGATGCCGAGTGGTAACTATATTTATATCTATGGATGCTACATCGTGTATCTATCTATCGATCGATCGATCGATCTATCTGTTTGGCTGTCTATCTGTCTATCTGTCTATCTGTCTATCTATCTATCTGTCTATCTGTCTATCTATCTATCGATCTATCGATCGATCGATCTATCTATCTATTGATCGATCGATCTATCTATCGAGCGATAGATACGATCTATCTATCTATCTATCTATCTATCTAGCTAGCTATCTATCTATCTATCTATCTATCTATCTATCTATCTGGCTATCTGTCTATCTGTCTATCTGTCTATCTGTATATCTATATCTTGAGATACCGGGTAGCTGACCATATACTTACGTTTAGATGTGCCATGATGTGCCAAGAGACGGCATCTCCGCAATAAAGATTGCTAGTTAGTATGAGTTAGTCTAGTTTAAATCTATGTTGTTTATCTAGTAATATTTGTTGCAGCCAGACTAGTAATGAAGTTGATCTCTGAATGATGTGCAGGCTCAGTGGTGTTGTTTCATGACCTTCTCACTTTCCAAACAGCACCGTTCGGTGGTGATTTCGTTGAAAACAAACGTGGGATGTTTTCGGAGGGTATACCAGTGCGTCCCATGTTATTAAACAACTGCTGATTGATTTAAGACTGATTTGAGAACGCGGCTACATCTGGTTGGTTATATATGTTATATTGTCCATTAAATTTCATTAATATCATTTTGGGTGCATCCCAATCATTTGGTTCAGGCGTTGATGCTTAACTGCTTAACTGCTTAACCACGACTCTTTTGGGTGCAGTTCCAGTTATAGGTGGATACCAAAGAAGTATGGGCATTTTTTCATCCTAGCAGATGGAGGTGAACGCACCCGTTTGTTTCCCGAGTTTGACCCTGAAAATCACCCCAAAAAATATGTCTGGAAATTCACACAAATTTTCCAACACATGTCAGGGTCGAAGCGTCGAAGTGTTAATTTACGGTGGAGATCTCCCCATAGCATTTCGCAGCAATGGCCGCGCCAATGGCGGTGCCTATGGCCATCGGGCCGCAGGGCTATCGATCCTTGGCATTCAACTGGTGGAAACTGTCGAAAATAGATGATCTATGTTAGACCCATTGATCGATGATTTACCTGTAGAAAATTGTGTTTTTTTTGCACATCTACATCTATGTTAGTTTCCAGGAGGTGAGCCAACTATAAATGGCGGCGATATGGTGGCAATTCATCGAGTATGACATTATTGGTTTGGATATTATCTGGTTGGTGGTTTCAAACATTTTTTTATTGTCCATAATATATGGGATAATCCTTCCCATTGAATAATATTTTTCAGAGGGGTTAACTATTCACCCACCAACCTCTCAGAGGCTATTTGGGGGTTTATAACACCTTCCTGGCTCTGTGCCAGGCTTCAACCCAAAACCGTTTTGGGGCTCTCCTCAAACCCACGGCCTGGGCTCCCACCTCACGCTGCTCCGTGCTATTTTTTTTGAAGGCTTAAAACGGCTATGCACAAAGGTCCTTGTGCGTGTCATCCTTGCAGCAGGGGCCACGTCAACCCTTGGTGCTATGCTACATGTTTCAGGGATGGGTGACTATCGCCAGGTAGGCAGCCACCCAATTTGAGAACTGTCGGATGCCCGGCTCTGGTCGCGGAGCACCCCCACAAAACTATATTGCCCAGCTCAAGCCGTTTCGGAATCATCATGATTCTTCAATCTCCCAACTGGGTCTTGCTCCTGTCTGGGCGTACTCCTTGGCTTCACCTTTCCGGGCAGCATCAGCGGCGTCTTCAATCGCCTTCAACTTTGGGGATCTTCCATCACCTTCTCGGGCTTTGGCAGCATCATCCCCCCCTTGGGTTCCATGGTCATGCCCTTCAGCAGCTTCAGCAGGTTGGGGTTCCGACCTCCTCCTCCGCACATCCATGGCGTCAGTTTAGGCTCCCTGAGAGGCTATTTGGGGGTTTACAACACCTTCCTGGCTCTGTGCCAGGCTTCAACCCAAAACCCTTTTGGGGCTCTCCTCAAACCCACGGCCTGGGCTCCCACCTCACGCTGTTCCGTGCTATTTTTTTTGAAGGCAAAAACGGCTATGCACAAAGGTCCTTGTGCGTGTCATCCTTGCAGCAGGGGCCATGCCAACCCTTGGTGCTATATGCTACATGTTTCAGGGACCTGCAGAAACCACCAACCAGATATTATGGTGGTGTCCTAAAGTGGTAGACCATCGACAAAAAATATCCATGATTTGTCATGTTTGATCGGGAAACCAATCCGACTGAGCAGTTTCAAAACGCCAAGTGTTAAAACGCGGGTTAGACTACACAGTATATTGGGTATTATCACAATCGAGCATAAATCGTGGGAATTAAAAAATGGTTTGAGATAGGTAGAGCAAGGGATGTGCATGTAGTTTCAACATTGGTTTGGATGTGCTTTACATTTCAGGGGCATGAACACTTCAGAACGAAATCTGCGTTCAGACTTTGATTCTGTGGTTTACTGCGTTCAGAGGCTATTGTCTCACCTCTGAAAATACGCCAGATCGCATTGTCAAGTCTGGAGATCTCGTCTGTGAGCTCCTTTTGAGATACACATTACATCTCTACATATACTAGACCTTCCAAGTACCCATAAAAATGACGTTTTACGGTTTTACGGTTTTACGCCATAATTTCAGCATTGCAACGTACTTTAACCATTTTCTTGGGTGGTATTTGGAGGGCCTAGGTAGATATGCATTGTGAATAGCATCAGACTGAACCGGGAAAAACGCAAACGCACGCAGGGCCTTTATTGCGGCATATTGCGGCCAAGGGAAGATAGGGTGCCTTATTTCATGTTTGTGAGTGGAATTTGTCCAATATGTATGTATATATATATATATATGTATTCATAGTCATCCTGTAGTAGATAGGACATGGACATGTCAACATAATCCCCACTAAAATGGGTATATGTTTGAACATCTCATATTCTATCGACTTCGGGATGATTATATATGTATATACACACAAATATATCCTCTGGTAAACTAACATAGCTATAGAAAATCACCATCTTCAATAGGAGAATCAACGAACTAAATGGGTCATTTTCAATAGCTTTGTTAGATTACCAGAGGGTATTATTTCTGAATATATCTGATATCTTTGGCGTATCTGGATCATATATATATATTTATATGTATATATTAAGTTATATAAGTCGAACATGTTTCAAGATTCAATATCTCAAAGGGACGCCTACCCATTCCGAGGCTACCTCTATCCGGCGCAGCTGGGTCTGGGTGCGCGGGCACGGACCCTGGCAGCGCTGCATCGAGAAGCACAGGTGGGAAATCCGCATGGTCTCCACCTGAAAGATCCAGCTATAGGAAATCCCATAGGAAATGCATGGTGAATAGTCAAAACATGGTAGTACAAGTGTGGCACAATGGGGATATAATGGGGAGATATAGAAATATATGAGTATTGTTAAGGGGATATTAATCTAAGTGGCTACTCTCTGGTAACCAATGTGGCTGAAATCCCCGAACGAAATTTAGGTTTATATCTGGGAGAATCATCCTCAAATGATGATTTTTCTGGGAGATTAATACTGGTTCAGAGTGGTTAATACTGATGAATAGTTGTTGGCAGTGGTTCATAGGGATAAAATACAACAGGAATATGTGCGACATCAGGTTGATACAGTGGTGAGTACTATGAGTCAATTTGGGGATAGTGACCGACTTCGAGGGATTTTGAGGGCGCCCCCATACACTTCATTTGCTACTCAATGCGGCTCCAGTTTTGAGGCCTCTGGCCCAGTCCGAAAAACCTAGCATTTTGGTTTGGTGCTTGACCAAATCTGTTGGTAAAGAAGCTTGCAAGCAAGCTCACAGTATAGTGGCAAGAGAAGTTTCGAACCAAAACGCTAACAAGTAAGTCTAGGGCGCAATTCCCATAGCCACGGCAGAACGATTGCCTCCGATGTGTGTACGAATGAAGATATGAGTTGCGAATCACAATGGCCTGTGCGCAAGACTCATGAGGACTTCTACCACACTGAAAGGTATAGAAAAGGATACTCAAGTACTATCTTTGGAACATGTTCTTAGTGCGGCAAAGCCGATATGAATGGCGAATTCTTGCTTGATAGTTTTGGGACGGAACCAGAGAAGTTTTGCTTCCGTGCCATGGTTTTCTGAAGTCTTGCTTGGTATGGTAGGGCGCTTAATAATTTAATACTTTTGGAAAATACTAGCAGCTGCGCAACCAAAATCTAACGAGACATCCAAGTGATATCATATCTAATAATAAGTGGATATGTTCACAAACGGCCCTGCTCTGCCCGGCGAGGAATCAATGTTGCTCACATAAAGGCAGTCTTTATAAGTTTTAGTGAAGCTGCTGGGTGCAAAACTGGGGTCATGAATTTGGAAGCTGGGCTTCAAATCTTAATATTGCAACCCAAATTTTGGATCACAAACAGGAGCTCTTCAATATGGACAGCGGGCACAGGGGCTGGTTTGCATGCCCTTACGAGAATCTAATTTGACGGTCGCGCATACATTCAGAAACCTATGGAAATACATATACAGTTGTTTCCTTTACTGGCATGATCTACAACACACCCATGGTGGATTTTCCATACCTATGTTAGTTTAACTGGAGGGTATTCAGCATGCCCTTGCCCGTAAACTAGTTCCTTGAACACTTTTGTTTAGTTGATTTTTTGCGAGGCATATGGAGCAGGAGGTGGCATTATGGGGCCACGGAGAAAATCATCGTTGGCTATATGTCCTATGAAATTGACATTTTGTTAGTATACCGTATACACCCGTATACCCAGTTTTCAGGCAAACACCTGTTTGTTCCCCACCTGCCAGGTGAGGGTTGTTAGATTTTATCTAAGTTGCCTTCTCCTCCTCCTCCTCCTCTCCTCCTCCTCTCCTCCTCCTCTCGTCGTCCTCCTCCTCTCGTTGTCCTCCTCCTCTCGTTGTCCTCCTCGTCTCGTTGTCCTCCTCGTCCTCCTGCTCAACTGCGACTCGCGATCCACAGTGTTCGCTGCCGGACCTCAACCACGCCCAGTGTTCCCTGCCGGACCTCAACCACGACCATCCCCGCCCAGTGTTCCCTGCCGGACCTCAACCACGACCATCCACGCCCAGTGTTCCCTGCCGGACCTCAACCGCGAGTATCCGGGCCCAGTGTTCCCTGCCGGACCTGAACCACGACCATCCACGCCCAGTGTTCCCTGCCGGACCTCAACCGCGAGGATCCATGCCAAGTGTTCCCTGCCGGACCTCAACCGCGAGTATCCACGCCAAATGTTCCCTGCCGGACCTCATGTAGGAAGATATGGGACAAAGAATGTGCAGAAGAAAGTTAGAAAGAATGTCAGAAAGAATGTCAGAAGATATGCCAGAAGATATGCCAGAAGATATGCCAGAAGATATGTCAGAATATATGCCAGAAGATATGTCAGATAGAATGCCAGAAGATATGTCAGAATATATGCCAGAAGATATGCCAGATTGAATGCCAGAAGATATGTCAGATAGAGTGCCAGAAGATATGCCAGATAGAATGCCAGAAGATTTGCCAGATAGAATGCCAGAAAATATGCCAGAAGATATGCCAGATAGATATGCCAGAAGATATGCCAGAAGATATGCCAGAAGATGTGCCAGAAGATATGTCAGAATATATGCCAGAAGATATGTCAGATAGAATGCCAGAAGATATGTCAGAATATATGCCAGAAGATATGCCAGATAGAATGCCAGATAGAATGCCAGATTGAATGCCAGAAGATATGTCAGATAGAGTGCCAGAAGATATGCCAGATAGAATGCCAGAAGATTTGCCAGAAGATATGCCAGATCATATGCCAGAAGATATGCCAAATAGAATGCCAAATAGAATGTCAGAAGATATGTCAGATAGAATGCCAGAAGATTTGCCAGTAAGAACATGTATAAATGTCATGGTGGGGATCACACGAAGTAAAGTATTTTTTTTTGCATAATCAAGAAATCTGAAGGGGGGAATTACACCACCTTAATCAAGAGATTGGTGTTTGGGGATGTTTGACAACAATCAGGGGAATCCACCCCAGATTGATTCGAACCATCGCTGGTCAAACAGCAAACCATGATGGGGATCAGTGGATAGAACTAATGTGTCTAGAGTGGGGAAACCCCAAAAAATGTCTTTTTCAGATGGAATATATCAGAACATATATGACGCTAGACCGTTGGGTTTAGGATAGCGCATGGTTAGACAAATCCATGACTATTTGGTCTTGTTTGTATTAAAAGAGCATCGGTGGGAATATCATGAGGACAGAACCAGCCACGTCCATTGAATGGTGACGGCCCGGAAAATGTCTGGGTTCATGGCTAAGATCGCCTTCACCGAGGTTGAGTCCCCGTGAACATGAGCATTATATGACCAGCTAGGACCAAATGTTACTAAACCATACACGATTTACCTAATGGGGGCAACGGTCTCCCGTTTCATTGCCTCAGAAGAGTGATGTGTCATTTCTTTATTTGCCAACTTTTAGTAATGTTGTGTTTTACAACCCTGCTTGGGCTTGGGAATTAGTCAGGCCGGCATGGCAATATCCCCCGCAAGACTTGGGATGAACCCAGCACAAATAAATAGACACCAAGAAGAGTATGCACTGATGTAACTTCCAAAAATCAGGGGTGATTCATGAGTTTCAATTTAGCCACACCAGGGCTCAAAATGTTGATCCATACTTCATTCAAGTATTGTTGAGGTTTCCGGAGATCCACATATCATTCCGCACGATGTCCTGCGACCAACACAACGTGCCATCAAGCCATACTGTTCCAGCGAGTTGTTGCATCTCATGGAATATATGATACGTCATCGTCTTTCCAGGCCCCCATATCGCCATCATTGCACGGACTTATGCCAACTAAACAACAATGGAGACCATTGAAAGAAGGTATGTCGATGATGTGCCTTGCAACGGCAAATATTTTCAGAAAGTCGCGCGCATGAGCAACAGCAGGGCTTCTCTTTGTCAGCAGCGTTCTTGCGAAACAGTGCGCAGGTTCCTTCAGTCAGCACAGCGCCCAAATATTTAGATGCCAAAGAAACCTTTTCGGCCATGATCAAGTTCTCTAGTGAAAACTATTGTTATTATCAGAGCATGCCCCTTACAAGCATAACTCATAGCGGAGGGCGGAGGTAGCCGGCACCAAGCATCATCGTTGCTCCAACCCAGGCTGGGCACATAATTCATAGTAGCCACATGGGGGGTAAATTGGAATTTTTACCTTTCAATTTCCAATTTAATAGATTTCCCTTGTACTTGGGCTGGGAGCAACGAGGATCGGACATGTCTTAGCAGCTTGTCAGTTGGATGTTCAGGCCCGGCGGCCCGTTGGTGAAGTGGAGACACAAAGCCAGGAATCCGACGAGGTGCTGGTGTTGGCTCGGTGTAGAAACCAACAATACTGGGTATAGAAAAGGCAAATAACAAGTGGAACAGGGTTATGATTCCTGTTAGCTAAGTTGGTTTACAATTGAGTATGATAGCAACAAGTAGGGTTTGTTAGCTAAATTGGCTTACATTTGTTTATTGCAACAAGTAGGGCTTATGGTAGATATAGTCAATCGGGGTTATGAACCTATTTATAATTGATTCGTTGTCTTAGTTTTGTACGTGGAAAAAGGGTGAAATCATCTAAAGTCTCACTAAATCCATCCAAAACATGTATTTCAGATATGTTGAGGGGATTTACCAGTGCCATGTGTGAGTATCGAATGGTACATTGGATTCAGCCCGATGCTGTTTGATCGAGTTAGTTAGTTGCCTGACCTGGAAATATCGTTCCATTGCACAAACACCACTTGAAAATCAGTTTTTTTTTACAAAATTCAACAAAAACACAATAATTGATACATTGCATGGAAAATCAATGTTTTTGTAAATAATGTAAACATAGGACATTTTCTTTGTTTTAAATCATTACGGTCTACACGGATCAAATCTCCCCCGGAAGAATTCACCGTAGCCCATTTTTGAGACCCCTGAGTTGAGCGCAACCCCTCTGTCAGGAACACTTAGCTGAACAACACGAACACGCCTTTACTTTTGCGCGATGGGAGGTGCAGGGAATATTTTTTTTGTGTATTTACCACGCATTTGTTGAGTTTTGTTGGTTACAAAAAAACTAAACCACCTTGGGAATGGTGCATGCTGAACTGACAATTTGTGACTCAAATATCAATAGTTGACAGACGTTTGATCAGCGGAGGTTGTTTTACCAGAATTGGATCCATGATGATCCACAGGTTTCTCCGGACGACATTGCAGAGAATGGGGTACCATAGGGTACAACCAAGCCCATCCAATTCCAGTGATACATAATCATATTCCAATGATCATCACTTTTCCATTCCAAATAATTTCATCCCAATTCCAATCCCAGTAAGATGGCATTTCTTGATAGAAAAAAACACTCTTTTGAAACATACCTTAAAATTTCCAGTTGTGCTACGACTTACCTTCCCAGTTTTCGACGATTAAATCCTGAGCACCCAGTGGTTCAAGGAAAAGATGGGTCCAAAAGCACCTCGCGGCGCTGAATCACAGAGCATCTTGACCTTCCACAATCTTCCACATGCCCTCTGGTAAACGAACAGAACGATGGAAAATCACAATTGTTAATATGTAAATCATTGGTAAATCAAAGAACATTTATTTCTATGGCTATGTTAAATTACCAAAGGGTACCCCCCAAAAATGGATAAACATGGTTGAAGTATTGAAGTTATGCGGTAAAACACCATGTTTATGGGTACTTAGAGCATCTAGGGGTTTAACCAAAAAATGCGTTAAATATGGTTAGTTTTAGAATACTAAAATGATGCGGTCATCAATTTATTGTGGGTACTTGCAGAGGGTTTAGGTAGAATGATTGATTGATAGGTAGATATGGAGATAGATTAAATTATATGGATATTGTTACACCATGCTGTGTATAGATTTGTGTGTCTTTGGGTTGGAAGGTTGTTGATGAACCATTCCATGTATGAGGTCAACAAGAGAAACCATTCGGGACGATCGATGATTTTGTCATAGGCCCTCCTAGTGCCCATAGAAACCATAGAACTGGCGTTTTTTAACCCATAGTTTTTAGATGTTTTTAGTACTTCGTAATTTTCTTGGGACATTTTGAGGGTCATGCCTGCACTTCATGGGGGTCCGCATAGATTATGTTTGGGGGCCATTTGGCGACCTCAAAAGACCATGGCACTACCGGAACTCTCCTGATGAGCCTAAGACAATTGGTTCAGCATGTTCACTATTTATCATGTTTTATCATGGAGGTTCAAAGTCCCCTAGAGGTGACCCCCATGAAAATAAATTGTTCAGATATGTTAAGATTCACCATGGTTGTTGGTGGTTCTTGGTGCCTTTAATTGAGCCAAACATTGCAGGTCACCTTTGGGGAATCCCCATGAAATTCTCAGCATCTTGCGACCATCCAGCAGTGCATCCGTCAGGTGAAATGGGAAGTTCAGCAGCAATTGTTTTTTAGAACATGGAGATATCATGGGGATACCATGGGGGGATGTAATGAATGGAATATAGATATGGGATGATATGGGTTACATTCGGATGCATGCATTGAAGAACAATTTGATATTGGGTGTGTCTCAAAATGAAGTATCCCCTAAACATGGCACTTTGCTGGGGGAACAAATATGGTCAGCCACTTATATAATTTGGTGGTACACCATTTGGGACAGAGTGTATAATCACTCAACATGAATAGGAACTACTGGAACTATTGGAAACAATTGAAAACGACATGGGTTATATTCCTGCTGCATTGAACATTGTGTAGCATGAAAAGGAACTAACCATAGTTCAGTCTGATCGCATTTCACATGGACCCCCGCGCCCCCGTCCTCATCTTGAGGCTACGAGATGTACAACTCCGAGCATTACGTGGTCCGCTGGGGGGAATCACGGCAGGGCTAGGCCGCTAGGCGCATTGGCTGCCATGGAATACCCGGTAGTTTAATAGTTTGCTATGGGAAAATCACCATGATTTTCCCAGTGTTCCTAGATCTAGAATCTATAAATGGAAAATCACCTGATGCCTATATCAGCGAAAAAGCCCTGTGACTGCAAAAGTGCGCAGACGCGTTCGCAAACCCTCGCCCGGCATGTGAATTTTCACAGGAAGTGGCATGTAGATTTGACATGTTCCTTTCGATACCTACAAAGTGGGGCCCATTGTTCATAGTTGGTGAACATAGTATGTTCAAGCTACAGCAAAGTTTGGGTAAACACGGGAGATATATCGAACTAGTTTGGTGGGCTTAAAAAGCAATGGTCACAAGACTTCGGCCATGGTTAGCCTTCAAACCCCTTAACCGGTTAACTATGTCCATGGCCCTACCCACGTGTATATTGTTGGTTGTATATCCCATGAATCCCATGGTATCCCCATTATATATTTATTTATCATGTTATATAAATAGATTAATATTATACAAATCAAATATATGAATATGTTCCAAGTAACCCACTAAAAAATGAACCAACTCACAAACCATGGCCCGTTTGTGCAGGAGCATTTGAAGAAAAACGGCCGCCTGGCGGACAATGTCAGGACCGCGTTGAACCCGCCCGGTGGATGAATGGAGTGGGGTATCTACTCTACCTCGGGGTGCGGGACAGGGGTATGGGTTGAAATTCAAGCACCAGGGGGACCACAGATGTTGATCATGTTTAGTATTTACATCCAATATTTAGGGGTGCACGTGTTTCACTCATTCCCAAAAACAACTGGGGTATATCATATCATGGCAGGCCTCCCACTTGCAGCTGGGTTAAAACCATGGCGAAGTCGCCATGGTGAAAAAAGAATTTGACCTGTATGTTCAGGTAGTTGTTCGCAGGGTCCAGGAACTTCATTGCAGATGTTTTCTTTGGTACAACTACCATGTACGTACTCAAGTAGTGGCCAGCAGCCTGGTCATTTAAGTAGCATTAAGTAGCAATAGGGATGATCTTATCATCGGCCACATTCACAGGGGTCTTATGATGGATTTGAAAAATGACGCAACCCCAAATCCAGTGGCAAATCAATTCATATTCCGTTCATATCCCGATTGTACCAGCATTTTTTGTTGGTTAAATCATGTTAAATCCTTTTTCAATGACCATTACCCTCTGGTAAACTAACATAACTATGGAAAATCACCATGTTTAATTGGTAAATCAACTCTAAATGGGCCATATTCCATGATTATGTTAGTTTACCAGAGGGTAAATGATCATGTTCGCAGCCTTGTTCGACTCGGGACCTGGGGGCCTCAAATTTGGCGGTCAGGAAGTGCGGTGAATTCCTTCCAGGCCGGAGAGTTTGATCATGGCGAGACAGGATACCCTTTGGTAATTGAAATTCTCCATGGTATTTGTGATCAATAGATATATCATTATATATCTATACCGACACCATCACTAGTTTGATCATGGAATTTAGTATAACTATTGAAAATGGTGATTTTCCATAGCTATGGCTATGTTAGTTAGTTTACCAGTCGATGGGAGAGCTAAATAGATTGGAGTAGATTAGACTAGATCAGCTTAGATTAGATGAGATAGATAGAACGACAGACTTGTCGCAAAGCTGCGTAAAACACGTGCATCTTTGGAACGTAAAGAAGATAACCACATGACAAGTATGACCCAGTGGATAAGCGGTCCATTTCAATTGTAAATCGCCGTTGTTGATTGAAGATGCTTGAAGCCAAGAAGGATGTTTGATTGCGAAACAGCCTTTGAATACCCTTTGGGAACGAATCCATTGGTTTGGGGCAACAATTTTTGGGGACATGTCCCGTATCGAAGGAGATTGGCTGATACCCTGGTGTAGAACAATGTGCACAATTTTGTACGGATGATTCAACGTGGACGCTCAGTGATATAATAATAGGCTTATTTCAGCTTTGACTCCTGCCCTTTCTCTTTAATTTGGTTTTACTATAACCATCCAATTTATTCCGCCATGTTTGCCCTTGACCAGTCCCAGTCGCCTTCAACTGTTTTGGTTGGTTGTGGCATAAGTATCATAAGTATCCATATATCCACGAATGTTTTTTGTATATTTTGTTTTTCACACGTTTGCTCCTTGTTTTCTGCGATCCTCTATACATGTCTCCGTACATTTCTCTGCATTTCCACATTTCATGTCTTTTTATCAGATCTAAACCAGGTTTCCACCTGTTGGATCGTCGCTCCCCGGAACTTCCAGGTGTCATGCGTTGGTTATTCCTGTGTCTTATTGGCCTCGGAAGCGGTTTGGTGGCTGTCTGCGTGGACACTGCGATTGACTATGCGGCTGGGGCTGGACGAGCCGGCCATATCGGAACAGGGAATGACCAGCCATAGAATGTGGGCCCCCCCTAGACAAGCTAAGTTGGCCACTCCAATAACTGTGGTTTATGAGACTGATGACTTATAACATGTTATAACATCTTATAACTACAATTCATCCATTTTGATCCATTTTGTTTTTATAAACCAAGCACCACAACTGGGGGGGCCCACCATTCACATCCACCAGCCAGGGGATAATTCATCATCCCAGAGCTGTATTTTGTTCCCCCATGGGGCGACAGGCAAAATTTTGCATGTCAAGTTTTACTACTTTATTACCCAATGATACCCATTGGGTATCATAAAGTCTTTGCGATGATTTTAAGAACTGCAAGTTCTTTGATGGTTTGACTTCTCTATTCTTGTTGTTTACATGCCAGTGCATTTGAGGTTCATTCCGGGATTACCATCTATCCAACATTGTATGTTCATTCAACCCGGGTGTTACTGGATTCAGATAACTACTGTTCCATTATGTTCCATCAGTCAAAATATAAAAAGACCACCTCAGTTTGACTAACCAACACTCCAACATTCTAAGGTCTCCATGGAAACCCATCGGAACCATGCACAGCCACACACAGTCTAGGGGATTTGGTCAAAGTTTGCAGGTTCCCAGATCCTTGTGTCACTCCCATTTTTTGGATTAATTTATAGTACAGGTATGTCTCTTAACAGTATACAAATCCTGCATTTAAGGTTATATATCAATTGAACTAGTTTTTTCTTAAGCCAGATATAAGTGTGGAGAAGGCTGTAACTGTACTGCTTGATAGTTTCAGAGATGTTGCTTTTTTCATCCACAAATATCCACGGATGATGGTACCAATTGAGTAGTCTTCAAAACGTCTGTTGGTTGATGATTAGAATGACCTCATTGCCAGCCTGATTAATCATAGTTCGTCAGGCTTACTATGGGGTAACTGTCCAAAAAATCCTTATTTCATATTTTAGGTCAGTGAATTATGACCCATATGCTCCATGTCTGGTATATTTACCTACATAACTGGGTGATTTTTATGGCAAATGTTGGTAAATATTCCAGCACCATGGAGCATATGGGTGATAGTTTATCATCCATGAGCTAGGAATCCCGTTCTCAAATTGACATGGAATGACCGTTTCAGGTCGCCGTTGCACAAAAATGCCATGATGTCCCCATCAGAAAACCCCAGGATTCGTGGGAAAAGATGGGTTTGCAACACACAACTGGGGTACCGCCGTACCATTATGTACCATTATTGAGCATCATGAACTATTCTGAACCAGTATTGACTATATACTATTATTCAAAAAATGGATGATTTATTCTGATTATTAACCAGAATTATGGTAACTATTTCCGTCCAGTAAATTAACATAGACCCTGGCAGATAGGGGTTGGAAGACTGGTTTCCACTGAACATGGATTATTTTCAGGGTCTATGAGTCTATGTTAATTTACCAGAGGTAATAGAACTTCTAACTTCTGACTTATAACCATTGTTATTATCATTAATTATTAAGCATGATGACTATGGTAACTATTACCATTTGTTATTCAGTGAGAATCCATGGTTGGTCCCATCTCAGGTTTATGAGACGCGAATGGGACTGAACGACCACGTCTATGAGACCGACGTGCGGGTCTTCCGGATGGACGGCTGCGACGGTTGCGACCAGCGATTTACATCGATTTACCCAGTAGAAATGGTGATTTTTCCATCGATTGGTGACCTCTTTGTTTGACCGAATCGGTGGGATAGGAATATGCAGGGCTTTTGGAGATCTTTGGGAATATGAAATCACCGAGGTGTTTACTGGAGATTCCTGCGCATGTGAATTGTAGATTGACAAGAATTTGATATCATCATGGGAGTGGATAGACCCAGCATTCATCAGCAAGATTCATCAATCATTATGATATAATCAGCAAGTTAAAGAATGGTATGAGTTGCTGATCCAAGCATAGGCTATAAACCAAGCGGTTGCTGATCTCTATGTGGATGCCATGGGATGTAGCTGGAAAATGCTGGAAAATCCACCGTTTTCAATGGGACATCCTCGTACCATGGACATTTTTCCATAGCAAACTGTTAAAGAACCAGCGGCTAATTAGTGGATGATGATGCAATATCACTTCAATGATATGTGGCTTTGTGCAACCATGGTGAAAGACCCCCGATTTGTAAAGCCGCTTTTTCCATGGGAACAAAACAGGTTTTCAACCATTGGTCTAGACAGACCCATGTTTACTGTACCTCTTGTGCTGAAAGCGCTCAAGCTAAAGAACGGGATGACATTCTTTGAAAATGCGAGCTTGTGCTCTTTCCAACTGTCCACTACAACAAAAAACACCGGAAATGTTCAAGCGCATTGTGAAAGTGTAAGAGGTGTCAAACGTGATTCACTTTGCAAAATATGATCAAAATGAACAAAACATGTCTTTCGGCAGGAGTTTGGACAGTCAATGTATAATTCTCACTCATACTGTGGATGGAATAAATCCTGCACCACCTTGGATGGTTGAAACCCTATAAATAATGGGATAAACCACCTATCAACTGGTGCAGGATTTCTCAACCATCCACCGTATGAACAAAAATCAAACAGTGCTCCACATCTCCAAGTGCAATTGTGAAGGATTTGTTTTGTCTGTGTTTTTTGGTTTGCCACTCGGAAGAGTATTGTTAGTTTTGTGTACTGTGTAATAGAAGGAAAATAATACATACGTATATTTTTATATATAGATATTGTATACATATATCATACCTCATAGGTCATACATAATATACCATACATATCTTAATATATCATACATATCATATATATATATATATATCATATATATCATATATATATATATATCATATATATCATATATATATATATATATATCATATATATATATATCATATATATCATATATATATATATATCATATATATCATATATATATATATCATATATATCATATATATATATATATCATATATATACATATATCAGAAACATATATCTATAGTATATAATATATATTTTATATCATATGTATGTATGATATTTAATTATGTATCATATATATATATATATATGAGATATTTTTGAATATCATATATGTATATATGATATTTTTTATCGTACATATGTATATGTATGATATTTAATGTTCAACCTATATATATATATATATATCGTATGTATAAATATAGTATATAGATATATATTGTGTATATATATCTATCATATATACATCATATATATATATATCATTTTTATTTATCATATATAATATATATATATATCAGATATATTTAAATATATCATATACATATTTATTTATCATATATATATATGAGTGTTATATATATATATATATATATGTATATGTATATATTTCATATATATATATACCATTTTTATTTTTAGTTGTTATTATCATTGTTTTAGTACTATTTGTTTTTTGGATTACTACTATTATTATTTTTCACTGGGCCATGCAGAGGGCCATGCACAGGGTGCCTCTAGCGTCTCAGGTATGGAAACAGCATCTGAGATGCATCAATTTGTGGGTCCAATGTGGCTGATGGTTGATGCAATTTGGAGGGGTCCGTTTGGTTTCTTCCGGCTTCAAGGTCCGCAGGCTGATGCTTTTAGAATTGTTTCGATGTTCTTTGGTACTCAGTTTGTAGTGTTGATGTGTTGAAATACATTAATGATGTTTGAATTCCATTACGAAAGCAGGATCCTTCCATGTTTTTTCTCCAGGTTGATATTGGCTTGTGTGTTGAGAGAGGAGGAGAGGAAGTTTTTACTGTTGTTTTTGGCGTAGCGGGTACAGCGTGCCAGCTAGACAGCCAAGATGAACCATCCACGGTACTTCAATACCTCCACGTTTTGCCACGATATGTATCTATCCATCTATATACACACACTTAGATACGTACAACCTAAGAAGATACATATGTAATGTGTATACTGTGTATACCGTGTATACTGTGTATAATATACATATATATATATATATACCTGGAGCTTCAAAAGTACACTAATTTCTGCTCGAGGAACCCAATTCTGCTCGTTTTACCAATTTCTGCTCGAGGTACAGCTAGATTTGAAAACAACCACTTTTCAAATGTGCGCTCGTTTGCGGGAAATTGCGCTCGATTGCGGGAAATTGCGCTCGTTGTGCGGCCTGTTTTTTTTTTGAGTCAGTGACAGTCAGTGAAAACTCAAGAAGTGCTGGTTTGGTAAATTTCTGCTCGCGATGGAAAAACATCACCAGAAATTAATGCTCGTTTGAAGATCAAGGTATATATACACATAAATTACACATATACATATACATATAGTTTGGGTTCCATCAAGTTTATGTGTTTACATATAAATTACACATATACATATACATATAGAGTATCCATTGTTTGGGTTCCATCAAGTTCCATCGATTGGCCATGAGGTACTTATGTTGGGCAGCGGCGTCCGTTGCTTTAGCCAGTTATTCGGCGAGTGGAGCGGCTTTTGCTTTTTGAATGGCTGGTGCAATTGGATGCTCCGATGCTGTGGGAATTACAAAAGTAGCGATTTGGTAATGTGAATATTATTTGAATATTACCCAATGATACTAAATCGCAATATTATTAATCATTCATTACTAATATTACCAACTAATGTGAAAATTACCATTATTTGAATATCAATATTATTAATATTACCCAAAGGACGGTAATAATAGTAATAATTATTATCATGAACGGCTGTTGGTTATTTGAAGTCTTATTGATTCATATGAATAGCCATTTGGTTGAATGAGGTTCATCATTGGTGATTTGAATTATGATTGAGAACATAAGCCCATTTAAGGTTTATTGGTTAAAAAGCAAAAAACACTTCAACATTAGAAACACTTTTGTTTTAAAATGTTTGATTTGTTTTTATTGAACAAAATCAAAAATGATTCGCCTTGTTTCAAAGGAATGAGCTATGAACGAACCAGTGATGGGAGGCAGGAGCTCCGAACACCACAGAGCTCTTGAGCCATCCATTTTTTCACAACTAAGGGAACTAAGCGGCTTGTGATGCAGTTTCCAGAGATACAGCTTGAAACATCAGCCACTGATATGTTGTTGTTGTGTTTTCCGCATTGGTGCGACACATTACATATACAACAACTTTTTACCCTGCGGGTATACCTACTATAGAAAATGTGGGCCAACATGTAGCAACTGCACCAGCTATATCAAATAGATGAACCATATCAAATAGAAAATGTGTTTGTTGTGTCCAGCCACAGATTTATCTTTCATTGGCCTCTAAGGTGTTGCTGCCTTCTTGGTGTGTTATGTGGAGGTCTTGGCCGCAGGCCTGCCATGTGTTTGCCATTGTGGAGACTGGAGATTGGAGACTACAATACATGCTGAAAATTTATGAAGTATATAGATTCATTAGTACCACCAGTGAATACCATGCTATTAATGAGGATCAATAGTATTAATGCGCCCAATCATTACCATCTATTGGACTACAATACATTAGCATCAGTAGTGAGCCTAGCAATGTCCATCATATAATATCATTGGCTTCTAGTGATGAATTGATATCGATGTGTTTGTTTGCTGAAATCTTTGAACAAAAATCAGACATCTCCTCATGACCTGTCTGATAAATTCTGGAGGAAAAGGCGCCACCAGTGTCATATGCAGGTTTCCAAGGGTCATGGGCGTACCCCCAAATCATCCATGTGATTTTCATCCCGCGGTCCCAGTTCATGAAAAATGAATCGTGGCTGAAGCATGAAAAATAACTATGACGTAGCAATTAATATAGGGGGTACATGATATATATTATATATATAATGTTGTATGTAGGATATATCCGAGTTGACCCAGTGATATGCTGGATAAGAGATAGTGTATTGACCAATTACCCCTGTTTTTTTAGCAGCTGTAGCTTGTAGATATGGAGCATATTGATTTTCAAATATTTTTCAATCGGTATCTCATCAATCTTGTAATCTGTAAATGGGCCATAGCTTCCATAGCTATGTCAAATAACCAGAGGGTATGTTCTCATGATATTCCCTTTAAGTCACAATGTTTGATAGATGTTGATAAAATTCCCATGATATATCATGATATTCCCATATTCCGACTGGTATGATCCATTATGCATCCATTATTGTTGGATAACTATGCAATATTGATTGTAAGACTGTTTTTAAACTATGATTAAGCTATTGTTCAACTATCATGATTATTAAACTACTATTCAACTATTATTCAACCATTATTGAATTATCTTCAACTACATGGTATATAAACCAGTATATCAACTATTACTCAACTAGATGGTATTATCAACTATTCAAACTGAGTATATTGTACTATTACTCAACTATTACTCAACTATTAAAAAAGTATTATAAATCATAACCCATGTAGTTGGCTAATATTCAACTATTCTAACTCAGTATATGGCTTATTAACACCATTCTGAACTAAGCCATCCCCCAACTGCGCAGGAAGTGGGATCCCTGAGCGCCTTGGACACGCAGGGTCCGCAGGCGCTGATCGGCCTGTTTTAGCCAAGGCGCTTGCTGCGGGTTTTAGTTGTTACCAATGGGGGATAACATGGGATATAACATGTGATTTAACATGGGATACAACATGTGATTTAACATGGGATACAACATGTTAATAATGGTTAATAATGGTTTATAATGGCTAATAATGGCTAATAATGGTTAATAATGGTTAATAATTATTAATTATGGTTATATAATGGTTATATAATGGTTATAGTTTAATATTATGTATTTCCCTTTGGTAAATTACCGTTCGAACCTGAAAATCACCAATTGTTGGTGGACACGAATCTTTCAACCACTATCTAGCAGGGTCTAGGTAAATTTACTGGAGGGTATAAATGGGGGATAGCATGGGATATATGATAGACGGAATATTTGTATATATATATATATTTACATGTTAATGTATATAAATAAATAAGTATATATGATTGTATATATATATATATATACATGTTAATGTGTGTATATATATATACAGTATATAGTCTATTGGGCTATGAATGGATCGGAATTGGTTTATTCCCTCCAGCATCATCAAACAGAGCAATATATGTAATCGATAATCTCGCATTTAGCTCGATGATTTTCCCATGGGTAAGGCATCGTCCAAGCATACCTGAAAGTCACCTGGGTCATTCTATCCAGCAGTGATAATCCACAGTTAACCTTTACGAGTAATCCATGAGCCATCGCGTAATTTTCTGGGATGTTTGTTCAGTCTCATTAAATATAAATACTTCGGTAATTCAACAGTTTCTGAACTGCATTTACTATATCAGGAACATAGAAACATCAGTCTTTTAAATTTACTGTATAATATACAATCTGGTAGCCTATATGGTTTGGAAAAGAACCTCTTAATACCCAAAATCACCAATTCCCATAAGATTTCCATGATATTGACATATTCCCATGATTATCCATCCATTGTTGTTGGATATGATGATACCTAATAACCGAGTTGTTCGTTAAACGATGTCCGCCAAGGATCAAGTGCTACTTGAACGGGGTGGACTTCCCAAGCGTCCCTTGATTTACCAGCCATGACTGGAAGGTGATGACTGGGGCTGGGGGATGGTTTATTGTTCTACCCACCAGACATGAAATCTTAATGTTTGGTATTGTGTCAGATATTGTCGCTTCATCATTCCACGTCGTTCCCTGTTTGAAGTCTCTTGTGCCTGCGTTCTGGGACGTTATCCCTCAGGGTGGGTTTCACGGAGTTGATTCCGAGTATGAGTATGGGGGCATGGGGGCACCATTTCTCATGATCTACATTACACCTCACCATCATCAACCTTTTTTCTGAATAGTCTATATCCATGTACAACCCCCATCTTCAATCAGTTACACCCCCTGAATTGAAGACCTTAATTACTCCACTGATACTTCCATTGAAAATCCCAACGCCTCACATATATCATAAACCCCTGACGAGAAGTATAGTCCTCCATAGATCAGGTGGCTCTTGTCCCCTAGTTATGTTGATTTATAAGCCCATCTAAGTGGGTATATCCGCCACAGATCCAACAGTTGGTGCCCCGTGAAGTTGTTCAGTATATATACCATAAACATCCATAAAGATCCAAAGAAACCAACGTTACCTTAGGGTTCTGATTAAGTATCTACAACAGTTGCGGCATCCTTGGGTACCTAACATGTTGATCTAAAGTTAACATCACAGTGAGTTACTAACCAACTTTGCGATTTAGCTCCCTGGAGCACCTACCGTTAAAGCCGCAAATGGGGTTTTACATTCTATAAATGAGGTAATTTTACTGACTTATAACTTATAACTGGTATTTCCGTCCATACTGGTAATTTAACATAGCTATTGAAAATACCCCCATATTTTTTTGGATGCTTTACCTACTCAAAGTGGTGATTTTCCAGTTCGCTATGGGAGAGTTTCCCAGAGGGTAACTGTATGACATCCATGGGGACCTAGGTCGTTGGTCTCCATACTTTGATGGCCAAAGCTTGCGGCATCGTCTTCAGCGTTTCTGCTGGCTTGCCCTGTGGCAAGGCCCCGGTGAAATCCGGAGAAATAGACGGCGTCCAACAGAAATAGTTGAGATATCTACTCGAAATCATCATGATGTATGCAAGTTCAGATTATTTCATTTTCATACAGTTGATATGATTTAGATTTAATATCTACATCAGTTTTGGGGTATTTGAATACTTTTGTCTCTATTGATTGATCTTCTGACAACCAGCATTCTGGAATTTCTTTACTATCCACATGGATGTTTTGGTGCGTGGTTTCTTTTCTGCATGCTCTTGGTGCGACTCGGGTTGAGGGTTTCAAAACGGTTGCATCCGTTTTCAGCTGCCTTTTTCTTGCTGGTGAAGATATATGTTCTTAGCTTGCAATGTGCTTGGCCATGTGAGGCATGCGCTCACAATTTTGCTATTGAGTCCTCATAGTAACAGTGTATCCTCTTGCTGATAGAGTTCATGATGTTCATCTGGTTGGTGGTTTCAAACATGTTTTATTTTCCATAATATATGGGATAATCCTTCCCATTGACTTTCATATTTTTCAAGATGGTTAAAACTAAAACCACCAACTAGTTCATGTTTGCTCTTGAAGTCACTGTGTTGCTTGATGACTCCTGGCAGGAAGGTCCCATGATTCACAGCGGTGCAATCATTGGTGCAGTCACCCGGCTCCGCTTTTTGGAAAAATGGGTTGCGGAACCCCGTCCGGGGTACCTAAATAGAATGAGGGGGCTGGAGCCCCTTTTAAAATAAAACAAATAAAAATAAAATGAAAATAAAATGGGTCAGACCCCAGCATTTTATTTTGTGGGTGCATTTTATTTTTTGAGGTGCCTAACCCATCAAGTTAATTGACAGAGATACTGGTAGCATGATAGCAAAGATGCACAGCTGTGAACGGCCTGATCATTTTGTGAAACGTTCCAGCGGATTCACGAACGCTAACAAAACGATAACGAAAACGATAACTTTTGGCATCAAACATGGTCCTTCCTTTACTTGCTTTACTATTTCTTTTCCTTTTCCCTTTCCTCGCTCATGTGAATTTTGGGTCTTGCAATTTTGGGGGTTTTCGAGTTTTCCTTCAAAGATGGTTAAAACCAATCAAAGAAGGAAACAGGACAAAACAAGATCAACCCAAAAGAAAATGCTGGAGCCTGAGGTCCAACAGTTGCATAACGTAGGTCCAACAGTGGCCAGGCGGAGGGTGCCTGACGTCATTTTCTTTTTGTACCTGTCCATTGTATTTTGCTTGGGTTTTCCTATCTTACCTTACGCCCTCTCATTTTATTGGCATTTTGTCCTTAGGCCCCTGCATTTTATTTGATTTTTTTAGGGGTTCCACCCCCCCCTGGCAACAGACGATGGTGTTGCGGCGAATCAACATGATTTGTTCACAACTAGCTCAATGGTATTTAATGGGATTTAATTCGGTTTAATGGCATTTAATGAGGGTTTAATGGGACATGACTCGTCAGCTATATGAGAAATTGGGGATGGGTGAAGCTATTTAAGACCCAGAAAGATCAGAAAGGGACCACAGATGGCTCACGATTGCTCTTGAGGCCAATTTTGACCCATACCCACATGGGGTGCGCTAGAATGTCAGAGATTTCGGAACATCATGTTACTGGTATGCTGTAGTTGGTGTGTAGCCATGCACAACCTCTTCCTCTTGGGAAAAGAAGATATACCCTCTGGTAAACCAACATGACAATGTTTAATAGGTAAATGGGTAAATCAACTATAAATGACAATTTTAAAATAGCTATGTCAATTTACCAGAGGGTAACATTTTGGGAGGGTTTGGACCTCCATTGTTGCAGGGTCAACTGCCGTTTTACTCCATGGAGTTGCTGGATGTTTTTGAAAAATCTGGCAGCATCTTGTGGTAGCTGAGTAGGAAATAGATGCAAATCAAATCATATCAAATAGTCAAAATCTGGCTTGAACTTGCAAGTCCAGTTTTTTAATTTTCCAACTCAGTATCCGATTGATATGCGTTCATTGGTTTCTACCTGTGCCAAGAATCAATTCAGAATCTCCAGTAGTAGCATTTGGCCGCTTCCCTCGGATAGATTTAGTTTTCTGTCTCCATTTTCGAACTCAAATTCATCCAAAATTTCCGGTATACCCTCTGGTCATTTAACGTAGCTATGAAAAACACACATGTTTTAGTGGTTAAATTGGCATTAATCGTCTGTACATGGGCAATTTTCCGTTGTTAAACAACCAGAGGATGTCCTTCAACTTGTCCACATCTCCTGGATGAAAATCTACATACCCTGCAACTTCTCTACATCCATTGGATCAGCAAATATCCCCAAGCAGAAGTTTGGAAATGAGGTGGTGGCCGGGCTTCGTATTGATACCCTTATCAAACCTTTCATCCGGACGCAGGACGGCGGACAGGGGCTGGATCTAGCTTGGAATGGATGGTAGATGTTGGAGACAGGATCATTTTGTGAACCACTGACCTCATTGTCATGAATTCTGTTCGTCGGTATTGTTAAATGTATCAATGAGGACACGCTTCCATACAACGACCAATTCTACTACAATTATATCATCATTGTCATTGTCCTACCATTTTGTCAACAATTCCCAATGGAGCTTCCACTGCTATCCACCGCTTCTCCTTTGTTTCTTTATAAATGTGTTCCCAATCTGTTCCAATCATTTTAACCTGCCTGCTTTCCACGTTTCACATGTTTTCTTTATATATCAGTATCTGGCAATTTTCCGGATGTTCTTATCTTATCCAACTTCTCCAACCACCATATTTTTCCAACTTTCCCACCATTCTCCGATCCCAAATTTGTTACAATTTCCCAGCCATTTCTGGCCATTTCTTCAAAGATTCCCACATTTGTTTCCAAAGAATCCAAATTGTCAACAATTTTTCTCAGCGTTTTTCCCCACATGTTCCTGGCATTTCATCATTGTCTTCTTAATTTTCCCACCGTTTTGTCCAGCATGTTTTTCCATTTTCCCAGAGTTTTTCCACATGTTCACCCAATTTTATCAGCATTTTCCTACCATTTTCCAACCATTTTCCTACCTTTTCCCATCCCCCCCGTTGCGTCCCGTTCAGGAGGTGCGCGACCTCGTGGCCGCCGGCGCCGCGGCCGGGGTGGCGGGCGCCTTCGGCGCGCCGCTGGGCTCGGTGCTCTTCGCCATCGAGGAGGGCACGTCGCACATGACGCGAAGCCGAAAAAGTTGGTTATTGGGATAAGATTTATGAAATAACATGGGATGATAATTTTTGTGGGATATTGATCATTTACCCTCTGGTTATTTAACAGTCATGGAAAATCCCTCATAAATGGAGGTTTTAATGGGAAAATCATCTATAAATGGGCCATTTTCCATGGCTATGTTAAATAACCAGATGGTAATATTTATGGGATGATTCGGGATTGTTGATTGGGATGATATTCCAAACATGGGGATATGTAATGGGAGATGTGCTAGATGTTATTGGGATAATGGGAATACTGTGGATGGTGGCGAAAGCCTGCACCACCAAAAGGATGGTTGAAAGCCTGTAAATAGTGGGATAAATGGATAAACCATCTATCAACTGGTGCAGGATCTCTTCCATCGTAGGACCTGATAGGATGATAGATTGACTCTTTCTGGTAGGTAGTTTGGGACATGAATTTTATGACTTTCCATATATATGGGAATGATCCCAACTGACGAACTCATATTTTTCAGAGGGATAGGTTGAAACCACCAGTGAAAGGATGATGGATTGGATTGGCTATAAAAATACTATGAATTGCTGGTTTATTATGAAGTGTATAAATATCATGTAGTATAAATATGGATTGTACTATTGTCATAGTATGATTTCAATTATGATAATTCTCTGGGTACAAGATATTATGATGTAATATCTATTATTTTTTAATAGTAGGTTCCATATATAGTTGTTAGATAATAATCATTGTATGACTATGGATTATTATACTACGGATTATTTATTATACTAGGGATTAGTATAACTGTTGTTAGTATGATTATTTATGATATGGATTTATAGTATGGTACTAACATGAATCGTTGATTTTAAATATTCTATGGTAATTATAACTTTACTATGGATTTATGGATACTTAAATGACAATTACAATATTCATGCATATGATATATGACCAAGCTGATGTGTGATATGGATCATAACTATATAATTATGGATAACTATTATATATATATGATTCATAAATGTGTTCTTTTTGATTTTAGATTAATTCGGATGATATATCATTACTGGTTATAGATTGATGGTCAATAAGCAGTTACTATCCTCGTTTAACAGCCTATATCCTTTGTTGGGATATGGAATTTTAGTGTGACTTTAATGGGATATATAATGATGATAAAATGAGACATCATGGATTTGAGGACGGTAAACCCAATTTATTTGGATGGTATAATTAATGGATGTAATGGCTGGTAAATAATGGCATTTTAAGGGAATGACCCTTTTGCAATTGGATATAATGTATATTAATTAGGAGGAGAATGAACATATGGAACTATTGGGGATTTATGTCAATTCATTGGGGATATAATATTTGATACACTGAGGATATAGTTGGGGATATAATGAACACACTCATTAATATTAGCTTACCATTGATTCACTATTTAATGGGTATACAATGGGTTTACCATCTTTAAATGGTGATACTTCATCATCCATTATCCATTTCCTGATCAAATAGATCTTGGAATGTGTGATTAATAAACCTAGTTAGTAAGTTCCCTAAGTGATATTTCATGGGTATTTTTCGGATACAAGTGATCTGAATGGGAACGACAACTTGTGATTGTCATTGTCATATTCGTTCGTTGGTATTAATCTCGAGTTTGAAAATGGGGTATCTCAGCTACAACGGGTGAGGACGGCACGGCTTGAACATGCTTCACAATTTTTAATTGTGACAAAAACAATACAAACAGTTGAGATGAGCCACTGGTTATTAAAAAACATGGTTTACAACAATGAGCAACCAAACAAAAATGTGGGAGAGTAACCAACGAAGTTTCGAAACGGTACCCATCAAGATCCATCAAGGGGATTTTCTCCACATTGGTGCAAGCTTATCAGCCACCAAGGAATCCTTTCATCATGAGCCTTGGATGAATTGCTGCTGGAGCTCTTTCCCAAGTTGGGCTCAGGATTTACCAATCAGCCATATGATGCCATATGGACATGTGTCAAAACCTAACTTATCGTATTTGGGTGGTGAACATTTGTTTTTTTGAAACCCAGGATGCTCACTGCCAGGGTGACAGGGTTTTAACCCAGAGCAATATAGCCATGGTGGGTCCCACGCTGGATGCTCGTGGGAGTCTCTTCACCGAAGAATTCATGACACAGCCTGATTGGGTTCGATCGATGTTTTTCCACTGAAGAATGGGTAAGGGAAAATCTGCTCTAGATCGGATCGTGCACTCATTGGTCATAGCAGCCTATCATAGAAACACCGCAAGGACTCTGCAGTCTTCTCTGTACCAGGATGTTGAGTATATAATGACCCCTTCCTATCCCCCATGAAAATCAGAAAATGACAAAATAGGGGCCCCATTTTGCCATGTCTCTGAAAATGCAGTGTATCTGGTAACTATATCATAGTTGATCATCTATTTTAAGACCTTAAATACGTTCCTTTGTATCATGTGTATACACACTACAAATACACACATACTAGCATGTACATACATTTACACATATTTATATATACGGTAAACATGTGGAGGGCGGGCGAGACCACGACGCCCCGGAGGTAGTATGGCCAGTTCGTATTTTAAATATAGTTACCGTATGTTTAAATGAGTTGGAGTCCGTATGTTTAAAAGGCCTCCCGGGCCAAGGAAAACCTTCCCAGAGGTAGTCTAAAATACCTGTTCGTATATTTAAAAGTCCGTATATTTAAATGTAGTTACCGTATATTATATATATATACACATACATGCACTACAAACCAGTTAATCATAACTATAAGATTTATGATGTCATTTAATTCTTCGATTCTTCTTCTTGTTCTTAGTGTTTTTCTTAAAGTAATTCCTTATACCACAGATTCCCAAAGATCCCTAGAGATCCTCGTAGACATCTGCCGAAAAAACTGGAGATCAAAAATCCTGCCGAGATCTGGAGATTCCGAGAGATATCCCAGGGGATTCCTCTGCGAGATCTGGAGATTCCGAGAGATATCCCAGGGGATTCCTATAGGATTCACAGAGATCCCCAGGGACGATCTGAAGCCGGACCCATCTGGAGCCATCCATGGCCATCCAGCAAGATTGAAGTTCTTCCGAGGCTCTGTAGACCTTATTTCTCATTTCTTTCTCATGGATCCTTAGACATCCCAAGAGATACCTGGACCTTCTGGAGATCCGTAAAGATTCCTGCAGATTTCTGGAGATTTGCGAGGATCGCTTGAGATGGTGATCCCTGGAGATCCCAAGAGATCCCCCCAGAGATCCCCAGAGACAGAGATCCCTGAAGATCTCCAGAGACAGCTCCCTGAAGATCTCCAGAGATACCGAGAGAATGATATCCCTGAAGATTCGCAGAGATCCCCAGAGATCTCCAGAGATAGATCCCTGAAGATCCCTAAGGGCGGATCCCTGGAGATTCCCATAGAGATCCGTAGAGATCCCTAGAGATCCCTATATAATCAAAATCTATATTGAGGACTTGGATCATAACTCTAGCCCTACTATACTGTTCTATATGCACTTTACAGAATCAAAATCTGTATGGAGGATTGGGGTCACAACTCCACCTCTACTATCCTGTTCTATATGCAATTTATAGAATCAAATGCAATAAGAAGTAAATAGCAGCAAATAGTTGAAGAGTACTGTAGCAGAAACATAGCTAATAAAATGAAATACACAAGAAGCCATAAGACTATTAACATAAACAACATAGACTATCAACACATGCCTATTTTACGTGGAAATTTGGGGCCCCTATGTCCCCAAGTCCAAGTCTACATTATCCCCCTGCCAAACCATGCAACCATGTCCACCACCACTTGGGACTACATCCGGAAATAGTAAGTGCATATCATATATATATATATGTGTATACGTATGTATATATATATATATATAATTATATATATATACATATATTTATGTGCACCCACTCATCTAAGTCTGGTCGGTATATCCTACTAATTTAACAGGGTTATCTCATATGATTACTATATATGTGTTACTATCCACTTGCTCACTGGGATTCCACGCAGTATTGAAATCCAGTTGTACCTATATAATTATAACCATGTTAACGACCCGCACCGTGCCCAGCGCATCACATCCAAGGGCCATCTTCAATTTGTACATGGTTCAACATGGCTGCCCCGGCTATGTTAGTTGGTCTGATGTTCACCCATCTACTTCTAGTATGATGTCTACCATAAACTATAAACATCTATAAACATCTATAAACATCTATAAGAATCTATAAACCATGTTTTAAACCTGGTGTTTTCCACCTGGTTAAATCAACCAACAGGCAACCGCCATCAACCGCCTCCGTCTCTTCGCCCAGGATGCGTCTCTTCGCCGCAGCCAGCGTGTCGACCCTGGTGAGCCGGCTCTTCATGGGCAGGGACCATGGCCTTCCCTGGGGATTGCTAGGCGCCAACGCATCGTTGCGTCGTTGGGATCCGACAACGGAAAAATGGGTAGGGAAAATGGCGGAACAATGGGAGATGAATGGGATGATGTTCATCATTTTATGGATATGATGTTGTTTAAATGGGATAATTCATCTGGAATGATAAATTGATATTTTATTATCCATGGGGTATGCCATGATGATGATGATGATGATCATGGATACTTCATGATATACCCCATGGATCCAAGTACAGTACCTCCGGAGTACTGTATTTGGGGTATGATGACTGGTGGGTGATTCGTCCCCTTCGCAGGAAGTATGGCTGGATCCATAGGGATTTCATAATTATGATATGCTATGGATTATACTCATGGATAGTACTGAGAAAACACAAGCAACTCTTTGTCTTTCCCCTTCCCTTGTATACCTTGCAAGCATCTCGAAGCCGATGGCAATAACGAACTCTAAGAGACATGCGTTGGATGGCAGAACATATCACAGTAAAAGACAATATAAAGCAACTATTTTGATATATTCAATAAATATCACAATAGCCTTAATTAGTCATAATATCCATATTTTACTATGGTGAAATAGTTGCTTTTACTCTATTTCAATATACCCTCTGGTTATTTAACATAGCCATGGAAAATGGCCCATTTATAGTGGATTTACCTATTAAAAATTGTGATTTTCCATAGTTATGTTAAATAGCCAGATGGTATTGTGGATTTTTGACTGAGCTATGGAAAGTGAACCTCCATATTTCTTGGCCATGTTTGATGAGACCAACCCAGGATATGATCCTCAGCTGGGAGGTAGGGCCCTGGTTAGGGTTCTTCCAGTTCTTCCACATATCCCTTTTTTGTTCATACCAAGAAGATCCCATATGGGAATTTGATATCCCAAATGTTTAGAAAAGTATTTCTCGACATATACCAATAGGCCAATTGAAGAAATCTAATTTCAAAGAACTTCACAGAGAATCTTATTAGATGTTCTTCGAATCGGAGAATTTTTGTTGGGAACCCACCCAAAAAAAAATACCGTTTGAAAAAAAACAACAACTTCATTGTTTGAGGGTATAATTGTTTTTTTATTTTTACCCCCAGGGTCGTTTTTGGGCCCTGCAAGGCTGGCGAGTGCCGGTGAGCTTTGGCCGCTTCAGCAACATGGACTACTACATCCTGGACAGCGCTGTTATGGTCAGTGCAATTGTGAATGGAAGAAATCACCAGTTGATAGGTGGTAAACATCCCATTATTTATAGGGTTTCAATCATCCTTTTGGCGGTTGATCGATGTTTATCGGATTTCGCCACCATCCACCGGTGAATGTCGGGGACAGCCGCAGGAGTTTGGTATCTTTGGCCTTATGGCAGTGTGTGGAGGTCTCATGGGCGCACTCTTCAACTGCATGAACAAGTGACCTGGCCTGGCCACTTCATGGTGGCGACCTGGGTGGCGACCTGGGAGTATCGAAAAAAAAAAAAACATCATGAAGGGCGATAGGCATTCATGCCATAATAAGCAAAAACAAATAGCAGCTTTGGCAACACCACCTTAAAAACGTTGGCTTAGTACGGTTTAGTATTGAATCTATTCATTTGGGGGTGCACAATATGCTAGGTATTTCATAGGGGAATGAGATTACCGACGATACCTCCATGGTCTGTGGGAGATGATGACGCCCGGCGTTGCAGAGGCCAAGTTGGATGAAGGCACCATGTACTGAGGAAAAACACATGCATTTCTCTGTGTCTTTCCTTTATATCCAGTAATTGGCATTGAAAATCAAAGATACTTCATGATTCTTCATAGTTTTATCATTACATATTCAGCATAAGATCAATTTTTGGTATTGCTATCCTTGAAGAACGCCAGAAGATCTTCCGGGACCAAACCTTTGGCCGTTCGCCGGGCGAGGCGACTCACGCTGTGGCGACAGAGACATATCGGACCGCGAGGGCACAAGAGGTTTTTGGAGGTCACGAACTGCGCGGTAAACTGTGGTGAGACGAAGTTTAAAAAGGGGATTATCATTGGAATTTATGGGATTTATTATATGGGATTATCATGGGAATATGCTGAAACATAGGGATTCTTCTACCATTGAGGGGATATGAAGGGGATATGATCGGGTTATATGATGGGTGTAACCGATGAATTCAAACATCACATCATCCATCGGTGGGTAAACCGGAAGCATCACAGAAAAACCTCGAAGTGTTTGGTGGTTTCATATCCAGATGGTATCGATCTCTACAGGAAGCCATGGTTTTGCCGTCCCACTGTTGGCTACTCTTGCCGTTTCCTGTCTATTTCAGGGTTGGAGACCCAACTCTTATCCTCTTGGCCAAAGCCAAAGCAAAGTGGGAGGTGATGTTTTTTTTTTTTTACGATGAGACCTGATCTCTACGTCATATCATGTCATATCATGTCATATCATGTCATATCATGTCATATCATGTCATATCATGTCATATCATGTCATATCATGTCATATCATGTCATATCATGTCATATCAACAAGATACTGTCGTGTCGACATAGATATCAGGGTGGCTTATGGGAGCTTATATATGATATAATGGTTATATGAATATATATATATATATATATATATATATACATATATACACACACACACCGTATAATACCGTATATAAATAAAAACTATTTGTTGATATCTATATATTGCATTATAAATATATATATATACATATGGTCTCCACCGGAGGCGCTCTTCGTGACCTTTGTCATTGCTTCCTTCAACTTCTGGGCACCTTGGCAGCGGTCCGCCGCGCGGAATCGTTGCTGTGGGATTTATATGGGATCCTAATGGATTTATATGGATTTTGTATATACATATATTATATTATATATACACATATCTACTGACCTCACTGTGACCGAACCCTGGAATCATTGTTAGTAAGGGAATCGTGCCAATATAGCCGCACCTTTCAGGTTGGTGAATTATTGGAATTTGCCCAGATATGTGGGTTTTAGTGGGATTCCATTGGCACTATAATGGTTTATATATATATATATATACCCTCCGGTTATGACTAACGGTTTGCGAACTGGAAAATTAGCAGTTTCAAGTAAGTCATCATAAATCATCTATAAATGTTATAAATGGACCAGTGTTCTATGTTAAATAACTATATATTTAACTAATTAGATTGTACACAGAACTATTACAATAACAACATTCACAACTGGGTCGTACTACGGTTACTAACCACTTCCGATTCCTGGGATGCCAAATTAGAAGATTCTGTAGATTAGCCTCTGGTAATTTAGCATAGCTATGGAAGCCATGGCCCAGTTGTAGATGAATTACCCATTCAGAATGGTGATGTGCCATAGTGATCTTAATTTGCCAGTTGGTAATGTTGGATTATGTTTAATCATATTTCTTTGAATCTTTGTGATGAAAACATGTTTGGCCACCAATGGAGAATATAATGCCCAGCGAAGAAGTGAATTGGTTGCTAACAAATCCTTGTAAGATTGGCTACCGAATGCGCAATGGTGAGTGGTTTGTGATTTTGCAACATTTACACAACTTCGTGTCGACACCAAGAGAGGCTGGGGTTTGGGTTTCGACACCCTCGGACCAGATTAGGATTTTGGAAATCAATATGTATTTTTCGAGATATAGTTGAAGGTGCGTATGTTTCAACCCATTTCAAAAGATAGAACAGTAAAATCCCTTTACTCAAATAGTACTAATTTACCTTTTTTATGGGATTACCATAAAGAGATGTAACGACCAAAGTCATCTGCTGCGACGTGAGTTCTGAGGTGGTCATCCTTCTCAGCGATGGACCCTACATGACACATGGCTGGGTTTCAACGGCGTTACATGATTCCCAGGGATTTCAGTCGCCCAGTGGTTGATGTTGGTCAGTGGTTCCGAAACTTGGGAGGCGTTAAAAATGGCAGGTTTTCCGCATCATGTCCAGTTTTGAATACACAAAAACTAGTCCCATTTGTTTGCTGGAAGACCTATTTCCAGTTTTAGAAGAAAAGCATTGGTAAGTCCCCATTCAATGCAAATGTCCATGAGTGAGCAGTGGCACACACTGACCTGTGTATAGGTATCAACTGGTTTCCTTTGCAGGATGGATATCAATGCTGCTCCACACATGAAAACCTGGTTAAAGCATTGGTGATTTGGTCCAAGACTGGGATTTTTATATGGGGAGAGGACGATAAACTACTAGATTTTAGGATATTCACCCGATTGATTATTGGACAACACAGATTGCATGTATTTCATATTGTCAACTCCCACATGTCGTTTTTTTCGTTTCCACGTCCGTTTCCATAAACGTCATATTCCCATGATATATTCCCATTATTTGGGTAAACTATAACGACCTCACTGTTCTCCCTCACTGGAATCATGGTTTATTTCAGGGAAATCATCCCCACATGGCCGCAAGATTCAGGTTAGTGAATTATTACAATTTACCCATATAGATACATATACAATCATATATATATATACAATATATATATAGTTATATATATAATTATACATATATTCCTTCCATCATATATCCCATATTATCCCCCATGTATACCCTCCATGGACCCGACTGTCTCCCGGGATCATCCCAGGCTGGAGGAGCTGCCCGATGACATCGCCATCTTTTGGAGGACCGGCAGCATGGCGACGAAGTCCAGGAATATCCCGGTGTTTGTTGGTTTACAAGCCCATAGATATATCATATATATATACAGTATATACGCATATATATATATATATCCATATATATATATAGACAGTATATATATATATATACACAATATATATATATAATATATACATATGTATCTATCCATACATATAATATATTCATATATATAATATCCATATATATATATACACACCATCAATGCAGTTCTGTAGAGTAAATGATAAGCTACGAACCAACAGCTCTCCTTTGGAGGGCCACTACCTGGGATCCAGTTTTCCGCTTCGTCTGACGGCTGATTGGCGTATCACAAGGATCACGACGTATGACGTTCAATGAATCAACGGGGATATCATTATGATATCAAGTTTTTTGTAATGAAACTGAACCAGTAATATGATTTGATCAACTGATATCATGTTTGTTGCTGTTGTCATTGATTTCAAATGTACATTGAGTACATTGATGCCTCATGATGCCGCTCAGAGAGCCCATGGGACTGCTCCAAGGTACCAAAGCCATGAAGCAACTCTTCCATGGTCAGGCGCAACGGCAGACACGGGAGGAATGGATCAAAGGAAACCGGAGAAAATTCTGGAAAATCCCCGCACCAAATTGAGGTTGATAGTTTATAGCTAGGAAAATCCTCGATAAATGAAGGATGAAGGATTCGATGGAAAATCTTCTATACATAGGGGTACCTATAATTTCCGGTGATCTAAAATGAAGCAAGTACTTGGGGTCAATATGTTCCCGAATTCTGCAGCCCCTTCCGCATCACGTGTTTGCATACTAGCCAACGAAGTAGGCAAGCAAAGCTACACCCAAGCGCATCTTTGATGATGGTGCCATGCTGACCTACTATAGGTGTATCACTATACTATTCCCGGGGAGCAGTTTTCAAAATATCCGGCTGCAAAATATCTGGCTGCAAAAGGCATGGTTTCAAACTGATGGATGATTTTTTTTTTCAGGCCGCTGCTGCAATCCGTCAACGTGACATTTTTTGCTGAGTGACATTGCTTTGCTGATGGACCCACGTTGAAACCCCGTTTCGGGGGACCATCCTTGTACCACAGGAAGACTTTGACCTCCGATATTTGCTTCTCTTCGCGGTGATGAACTTTATCTTCACTTGCAGCTTGGTGAAATCGGTGGCCAAAAGATGATGCCCCAGCTTGGAATGGCTCAGTTGGTTGAACTAGCTCCACTTTTTGTTGTTTTTTTGGATTTATTTACAATACATAATTGATAACCTAAAATACATAAGTTGGTTTCGTTGAACTTCATTAAGTTGGTTGAACTAATTGCATTTCTTGGTTCATTGTTACATGGTATATTTACTGGGGTAACCAGAAGCAACACCTCAAGATGACGACAGATTGGCAGATTGGCAAGCCAGTGAGTGCTAGTACCAGACTTCACCTGGTTGCAATTTGGTGGTTTCTGCGGTAATGGTGGATCCCCAGTCGATATAGCTCTTTTACGGAACATCTTCGCCCCGGCGTTGGTGGGGCTTCCGTTCCGCAGGTTGGAACTACGGCGTGGGAGTTCCCAGTGGCCTCTTCGTGCCGTCCCTGCTCACGGGATCGGCCTTTGGCCGCATCATCGGACAGTGCCTTGCCGGGAATGGATGGGTTGCTGGGGGTTGCTGGGATGATTATTACTAGGGATCATTCCCGAAAATTCCCTGCTAAGCACCAGTAAGTTTTTGGGTGGAAACTCATCTGCCAACCCCCAAAGGCAGGGCGTATGTGAATTTGGGGATAGTGGGCATATATCCAACAAAAATGCTGGTGCAGTGCGAATAGGAGATTCTTTTTTAGATACCCGAATAGCCATCTATTTGGAATACCACCTAGGGTGATATGGTGGGATAATGCGTGATAATGTTATTCATTATAACCAGGGTTGGCCAATGAAAAAACCAGGGGTTTAAGTGACGTATCCACATGGGATCTTGGAAACTGTTGGGAGCAACCCCGAATGTTTTTGTTTTGTTTTTTTGGTGGGGGATATTTTTTATGTGTTACAAATGGGGGATACAACTGTGGCACAACAAATGAATACTATACTTACTATACTTACTATACTTACTCTACTTACTCTACTTACTCTACTTACTCTACTTTTGTACGGGCTTAACCAAGAGTTTAAGGGCATATTTAATGCGATAGAATGGAACACGGGGGTGATAAAGAAATCAACCATTTTATGATATGACAGTACAACTATACTGATACTATACAATGGATACTATAGAAACATGTGGGATTGACCCCCCAAATTGCGGTAATCTACTGTAATGGCGATGATGATGTTCGTTGGATTGAATGCTACGGCACTGGCACCTTATTTTCAGATCAACCCACATTGGTTGGACATAGAGGTACCGTGATATGCCTGTGGAATATCAGTATTTTGCAGATAAAACTCTGATATTAACATGGATGCACACAAATAAATAAGTGCACACATTCTACAGTGCACATGCGCAGACGTCAACTGCTGAAACTCACCTGGACGAATCGAATGGATGTCTGGTACCATGGGATACGCAAAAATTGATGCTTCATCATCAGATACTCCCATTGAAAAAGGTTTAGACAAGGTTTCCAAACCAAACCAAAGATGGCCAAAGGATGCTATCATCAAAAATTGATACTCATCTTAGGTCTGGACTTTGGGCATCTTTGGACGAGTTTCCGTCAGACCGTTTCGAATGGCAAATGCATAGGACAAACATACAGGTATTCCCAAGAATCCGGGACTTACCCCAAGCGGGTGATCCGATTGTTCAACAGCCAATCCAGATGGCATCTGTTCACACTCAGGTTGGTGAACAATCATCTGAACTCAGAAGATAGTCCGTTGCTTGGAAGAACACCTGAAACCGTGATGGACGAGCCGCCCCTGGGATATGTTTCGCCCGACAATATGATACAATATGCAGATGATAGCAGGTACCCTCTGATAAATTCACATGACTATGGACAATCACTATTTTCAATAGGTAAATCAACTATTTCTATGGCCATGTTCAATAGTTTTTTGTATGTTTACCAGGCCGGGTAATGAATGATATGTAATGATGTTGTTTTCTTATCGGGTGAGTCGTGGGATTTTTGAGTGGTTACACTGCAAGATCCGGACGGACCGTTCTATCAGCAAAAATATGACATTTCTCAAAGTTTAATGGGATGTAATTATATAGTTGATCAAATGGAATACAATATATTCACTCACATATAGTTGCGTGTATATATATATATATTAGAATATATGCATATATTAGAATACACAATACGCATAGACATGACATTCCACATGCACAGTAGAATGAGGATCTAAACACCCAGTATCCCCTAGATAAACGGAGACCCACCTGTGGAATCATCGTTTTTTTGGATACCCCAAATGAATAGTTGTGGTATGACAAGTTGCGGTTATGTTCTTTTTTGTTTTATATTCACGTGTTTATGTTAATTAAATGGATCATCATGTTCTCAAAAACAATGTAATTGAGGTATCCAAACTATCTTTGACAAGCATGCATCAACAATTAGCATGGCGTCACCACTTTAACTCCTTTATATCACCATGATATCTCGATATTTCTATATATATATATATGCATTTATAACGATTCACCAAGCTGAAATGAGGGCGTTGAAGTTTGTCCCGATTGTTGGTTATTCGGATAAATCAATATTTAAGATCCTTGCGATACCATTCTACATATCCATATGCTCCATGTATGGAATATTTACCAACATTTGCCCTAAAATCACCCAAATGTAGGTAAATATCCTATACATAGAGCATATGGGATATACCCCATAACGTTTAAAGACAAATCCCCGGTCTATCCCCTGCGGTTTGTTCTTTCCCAAAAATGATCATCCCATGTTGTCAAGAAATCGAGACAAACCCCCAATGCTAAAACAATGACTTGGGAAGAATCCAGCTCCAAATTCACTACATAGATAGTCCATAATGATGTATATATTATTGTTATTATTGTTATTAATAGTGTTATAGTCTAATAGTTATATTATATATATATGTATATGTTGATATGTTATATTTTTGGGAATATATCCAACATTCTCCAAATCCATATTCCCAGATGTCCATTCTACCTATCCCAATCTGGGTATGTATGTATATATATACATAGAGGATAATTGTCCAAACTCATACACTTGAAAGATCTATCCAATCCAACACAGAGATATGGGATGTTGATGGATTTCCAACCAGGAAAAAAACAGGGGTATTCAAATGGTTGGCAAGTTGGAAACCATGCCATTATCAACAATACATCTAATCAATAGTGGCAATCAACACAACACCAAGATAACTTATGCCATACCCATCATTTCATCTTATTTAATCCACAACTTGTGAATCCGTCATGATTTATATATATATATATATATGTAATTATCCATGTAATATATATATATATATATGTATATCATATACCCTCTGGTAAACAAACATAGCTATTGGACGTTGCCATTGATAGTTGATTTACCCATTAAAAATGGTGATTTCCCATAATTATGGTCGCTTACCAGAGGGTATCCATCATCATTTGTTTGGTGGAACATATCCCATCACGCCACCCCGGCCCATCCGGGCGTCCGGACCCCCTGGGCGCCTTCGGCCCAGGATCGAAGCACGGCCAGGCACCTACGCCCTGATCGGTGCCTGCGCCATGCTGGCGGGCACGGCACGGATTACGATCTCCTTGGCCGCCCGGCGGAGTCGTCCCTGAGAGACGGGGCCTTGGAAAAAGGGAAAATTCAAAAAAAAAACGATGGGAAAATCCATGGGAAATCCCTGGTAAAGTGGAGCTATAGTGGAGCTTTAGAGCTGGGAATCTGGAACTGAATGGATTTAAACAGATTTTTTTTCGGATTTGATGGGGATTTCATGGGAAAATGTGGTGATTTTCATGGGATTTAATGAGAAATAAACCTGTCGATAGGGATTCATGATGGTTGATGGGTTATGACTTTGGGGAGCTTGGGGTGCGATGATTCAACACCGCATCCTTTCGAGGGGCTGTTTTAATAGTACGTTTTAAAGCTTGACACATGGAAAACAGTGGCTATGTATATTATATATATATATATGTTTGACACATGATGGTTGATGTTTTTATCATATATGATACACTGGGGTTCTAATTTACCATGTGGGGATGTCATGGGACAACATTGTAAGCAACGATGAGATGTGGTGAGTCGCTGGAGTGATCAGCTGAACATTGTTTTCCAATGATTGACAGCTGTCAAACCATCATGACCAGCTGTTCATCAATCATAAATGATGGTTTTGTTGATGAAGACTGATGAACATCTAATTGGGTTTTCTTGTTTCACCATGATTCAATGAGGTGTTTCAAGACCATCAAACAAAGCGGTTTTTGTTGATATAGCTTTTCAAAATGCTGGTTGGTTCATGATTTTCACGATGCCAATGGATTGATCAACATGGCGATAGTGAATCCTAACAGCCTTTGTCGGGCATGTTCATAGATTGATAATGATTGATACAATATCGGTGGAGTGCAGAGTGTACAGCATTTTGTGCATGTAATCAGATTCTTGGAAAGGTGTGCAGTGTGCAGTGTTACCTTGGAAACACTAATGAGTTGAATGCCAGGTAGTACCACCCCAGTTCTGTTTGTGCGTTTATGTTACCCCGCTACAAGCATTCCCCAGTTCGATGTATCTACCATAAACCCAGCAATGATTTGAATTATTTCAACCAACGTCGCTAACATCAATGAACTCCAAATCACCATGTTTGTTCGTGAAACCGTTAAACTCTCAATTTGTGTTAATCAACTCCACATCTGAAAGTGTCGACTCAGGCGATGATTCTCATGGAGACGATGGGGGAAGCAGAGTTTGGCTTGCCCATCTTTTTAGCTGTCATGGTGCGGTGCCTTAATCAGCCGAAAGGTCCAAAAGTAGACAGGTCGAGTTTTGGCCTTTGGTGGTGCTAAACTGCGAAACGTTTTTTGTCACATCAATTGCTGGAAGGGGCATTCCGATTTCTGCCAGAGAAAAAGAGTGGCAAAAAATATGAAAAAATGTAGACCATCCAGGTTGATATGTTTAGAAAGTCATCACCACGGCCGTCCATCATGGTCCCAGGTTGCAAAGTTGACCGGGGATGTCTTCAATAGGCGCGAGTTCCTCCGGAAGTTGACGGGGCCATGGTTCGAGATCTACATCTGCATCGAAAATGTGTAGCTTTGCGAAGCAAATCAAAAATGAAGACCATTGAAGACCTTTATTTGAATATATTTAAACATTTAATGTTCTGGTCTGTATATATTTATGTAGAATTATACTGATCATTTGCTAAAGATTCCGCAAATTCGTTTGGAAATTCAGATGTCTCATCATTTTTCCACCAATCTGCCAAGCCATTGGCATCTCATCACCACTGTGCCACAGGGGCATCTATGACCTGCACATCATCGAGTTGAAACATGTGCCCTTTCTGGAGACGCTGCCCGAAGGTGAGATGATCGAGCTACAGGTGCCATGGGGAGATCGAGATCCGTCGGCTGATTGGTGATTGGTTGGACCGTCAGGTCGAGATATGAGCGCTCATATGTGCTTAAATATATGTGCTTAAATATATGCTTAAATGATCTTAAATGAGTGACATTCGGTGACATTTGGAGATTGAGAGTGAGACATTTGAGGAACATAGATGGAAACAGATGAATGTTTTCCAAAGATCACCCCTGAAAGACCGTAGATTTCGGGTAGAGTCAGCCAAAGATTTACCAACCATCTAACTATAGTTGTATGATGTTATATGTACAATAAACATTAATAATAAAGCATAGCAAGCCTAGTGGAAATACAGTTTAAAAAAAATGTAGGTTACAGAGACTGGAGGCCATTATTTACCACAATTACTTGATCATTTTTATAGTGATTGGGCCTATTGACTTTGGGGGGGGCGGTTTGGAGCTGTTTTAATGGCGATGAAGAGGTGCACGTAGGCTTTGCCCAGGCGTTGCAATGTGGTTCCCATCCCTATTCATTTTTTTTTTGTTATTTACACTTACTTTCAGTGAGGGAGATGACGAAGAAAAGCACACCCGTAAACTTTACATCCAATTGCGAAGATGAAGATGGATCGAAATTCACAGTTCCGTTTTTTGATCTTGACATTCAATTGAGAAGATGAAGAATATCTAAACACCCACAGCCGTTTAACTTTACATTCCATTGCCGCTGGCAAAGCACGGGCATTTGTCCAGTTTCAGGTGAGAGATGTGATGCAACGAAAAGTCGTTACTTTGGACTTGGTTGTGACTTGGATCAATATGTTTGGAGCACTTAGAAACACCCGGTTGTAGCGGTTTTATGTGGTTTTGAAATGTTTTGAAGCTGTTCTTTTCACCGGAAAGCAGTTAAAACTGGGATGATTATCCCGATCAACTTATTCTTTGCAGGGGAAACCAGCCACATCTCATTGCTTTCTTGAAGGCGGACGGAGAAATCTGTGGGGCAAGAAAGAAGGGCTGTGTCTCAAAGTTGATGACCCAAGAAAGCCCTGAATTTCATTGAACAATATGTAGCAGCATGATGTAATATATGTAGTGATGATAAATGATATGATATAATGTGATATAATAGTAGCCTATTGGAAAATTGTACTAGAAAATTGTGGGACCATGCACGACTGCACGACCATCCCTTATTTCTGCTCCAGAGCATCCCGTAGCACGTATTGTGCTATTCCAAAGTCATATTCTCAACGATTCCTGGACAACTGACCACCATTCTAGAAAATTTTGAGTGGGTCATTCTGTCACATTTAATATATGATGTCCATTGATGTCCCCATTTTAGTTGTTTATTATTTTCCTATTTCCATGTTTTTTTGTTGATCTCAGTTTTGAGCGTCCCCAATGGCCATGGGGGGGGCAGGTGAAAGTGTCTCGATTGGTGCAGGCCCATGTACGTAACGCGTCGGTGTGATGCTAACCAACAATTGAATATATTTAGCATTATATACAACATTAAAATGTATATATTTAGCATTATATACAACATTAAAATGATATAAATTATTGATATGAATATCATACTAGATTTTGGATTGGATTGGATTTACTGGGGAATTGACCGATTTTTCGTGGGAAGACTCTTCGGGATATACTATGACCGTTACATGAACCAAGCATTTTGGCTCTGTCTGAAAATAGGCTATGCGGCTATGCCCCCAAATAGTTTTATTTTGATAATATCTGGTTGGTGGTTTGGAACATGAATTTTGTTGTTCCATATATTGGGAATAATAAACTCCCATTTGACGAACTCATATTTTTCAGAGGGGTAGGTATACCACCGACCAGATATATACATGTATAGAAATAGAAACAAATCGTGATAAACCAATGGATGGGATGGGCCTAGTTTCACAATGTTTCCCCGCATCAAATCCGATCATCCCTGCAAGACAGGAAGAAAAAACATCAGCTTCTTCGACTCTTCATTCTGTTGATGAACGGCAACATTTCATCATATTTCATCAACACTGTCAATAGAACATGTGAGAAATCAGAGGAATCACTACTTTAACCATCTTTAACATGTAGAAACGTTGACTTTGAAGCAGCTGCTGGATTGGCGCAGCCTTACCCAACTTTTTCTTTGTGCCAGGTGTTGTCAGAGACCAACCATCATGCGTTTCCGGCCCCTCAGACTGAATGGGTTGGATCAGCCGAGACGACGAAGCTAGGTCAAGCGGACCAGTGGTGAAACGTGGTGAATCGTTGAACATACCCATGATCAAGTTGGTTGCATGTTTGCCTATTTTGTTGGTTAAATATATGTTTATTTATGGTTAAGTCATGTTAAATCCAATCTGTTAACCAACAAAACAGGCATGTATCATTTTAAATATGGTTAAATACCTGTTTTGAATCTGTTGAATCCAATTGGTCCCGGTTGAATCCTCAGGTGCTGTACCCCGGCACTCGTCGCATGGCGGGCCTGCTCTCCCAACAGATCTTGCGGAGGCGGAAACGAAGCGGAAACGAAGCTTCAAACCGCCCAGGAGAATTTCATTGATTTGATTTCTAGACATATTTGGTGAGATGCTAATCAACATTTGATGGATTATATGGTGATGATGTGGTGACTATATGATGATTCTATGGTGATTATATGGTGATTCTATGGAATATCAGGGGATGATACTCGGGAAACAAAACAGACTTAGAAATCTGCATGGATTTTAAGGGAACATCTTAACCGGAAACCACGTTTTTTTTACCATGAAATATGCGGGTTTCTGCCAACAATTGTCCCGTAAACCAATCCAATGGGAAGTGGAGTAGCAACGGGCCAAAAGATCACAGGTTGATGTGCAGAAACACCTGCAATTTGTCCGGTGGTTTATCATCATCTTTTACAGGACTATATATTGTTATTTTGGCGCATACAGTACAGTATCACCATTTTTTGGACAAACTGATATGGAAGATGTGTATGTGTACCAGTAGTACCGCACAAGGCGGTGGCGGAAGTTTCAAAAATAAGAAACCTATAGGAGAGGTTGGTTGTTGTGAATCAGGGATGGCAGAGCGAAGCCACTGCTGGATTGAAAGGTGCTTGATCTCTCTCACTCTTTCTCTCTCTTTCTCTGACTATCTACCTACCTACCTACCTATCTATTTTCTATGTATCTATCTATCTCTCTATCTAGCTATCCATCTCTCCCTCTCTCTCTTTCATTTGATGACCCTATCTATCTATCTATCTATCTATCTATCTATCTATCTATCTATCGACCTATCTATCTATCTATCTATCTATCTCTCTCTCTCTCTCTATCTATCTCTCCGTCTATCTATCTATCTCTCTATGTATCTATCTAGCTCTCCATGTATCGATCTATGCATCTATCGATGTATCTATCTATCTATCTATCTATCTATCTATCTATCTCTCTATCTCTCCATCTATCGATCTATTGTTGTTGTTGTTGTTGTTGTTGTAGTTGTAGTTGTAGTTGTAGTAGTAGTAGTAGTAGTAGTTGTTGTTGTTGTTGTTGTTGTTGTTGTTGTTGTTGTTGTTGTTGTTATTGTTGTTGTTGCTGTTGCTGTTGCTGTTGCTGTTGCTGTTGTCGTCGAAGTTAGGGTAGTTGTGTTAGTGAAGGTACTTAAGTTAGTCAAGTTAGTTAAGTTAATCAGTGTCTACTTTTTCGACATCAGCACGTCAAAAAAGGCTCAAAACCCTCAGTTTTTTACACTTTTGACTTCGAAATGTGCTTCGCGCCACAACGGCGTGCACTTTTTCGACACTTTTTCGACATCTGAACCTCCAAAAGTGGTCCGAGACCGCCAGTTTTTAACACTTTTGACTTCGAAATGTGCTTCGCGCCACAACGGCGTGCACTTTTTCGACATCTCAACTTCCAAAAGTGGTCCGAACCTGGTGTGTTTTGTACATTTTGACTTGGAAATGTGCTTCGCGCCACAACGGCGTGCACTTTTTCGACATCTCAACTTCCACTTTTTCGACATCGCAACTTCCAAAAGTGGTCCGACCTGAGGTGTTTTGTACATTTTGACTTCAAAATGTGCTTCGCGCCACAACGGCGTGCAAATTTTCATCTCTCGTCTGGCCAGCTGGCTCCGCACCCGCCGCTTTAGCGAGCCTACTTTTCGACCCTCCGGAGCCACAGATCATTGGAAAAACACAGTGTTTCGCGACTTTCCTACCTTTTCGCGCATCTGTGTCTTCTGTCCTCTTACTCTTTCTCTTCTGATCTTCTCTCTTCTAATCTTCCTCTTCTCTCTGCCTCTGCCCTGCTCTGCTTTTCATCTGTCCATATTGTCGGAAGTTTGACTTCTAAACTTCCTTCGATAATTGTGTATATATTTATATATGTGGGTCAAAGCGGTACCGTTGTTTTACATCAAAAATAGCCGGCTGACGGCGGATGTTTATCCCCCTAAATTCACTGGTTTTGACCCATCCCAAAATAAATTAGTTCATGCAACATATTTGTTCAACTCTAGCCAAGACATGCCACTACAGTTTGCTTTGATCGGGACAGGTAGAGCTATGGTATATTCTACGCAACATTGTATGCATGTATGTATGTATGTATGTATGTATGTATGTATGTATGTATGTATATAATATATATTTATATATATACACAATAATTCTATTTCTTAAGTGATATATATATATATATATATATATATGTATATTATTGATTCTATTCAACATGTGTATATTATTTGCCACTCCACTAAACATATGTATATATATATACACATAATTTATATATATATATACATAATATATATATATATATATATACATACATTATTATATATATATACATACATAATATATATGTATATATATATATAAATTTTATATATACATAATATATATACATAATATATATATACATATAATATATATATATATATATACATAATATATATATATATACTCAATATATATACATAACATATATATATATATATATCATTCCATTCTCTATCAATATTATATATATGTATATACATGTACACATGCATTGCATAAATTTGCCATCATCGAAGCATCCCCATTCCGAAATCGCAGGTTACTGGAGCTGGGTGAACCTCATGGACTCTTTTTGAGCGAGGGCGAGGAAGCGCCGGCGAAGCACATCTCTTGGTCGATGTGCCTTGGCAGCGCTACAGTGGCTACCAGCCTAAAGGAGCAGCCAAAACTAGGAGATGTAGGAGATCCGCGTGTGAAAATATGTGAACATATGTGAAAATATGAAGTGAAATCATGTTAAATCGGAAATTTGCACTAACACAGATTGGGAGATATGAGCCAATACACCAGAGACTTCAGCAGAATGTCGGGTGATCCTCTGAGTACTCAATCCTCTCAGTGATTTTAACCAAGGATGACCTCGGCACAGCCTTTCATGTCTCTTGGCAGCGTCGGTCATGGGGATGAAACCCATGGAAACTGAAGGGTTTCATCACCATGGAAACTGTTTTTTTTTGCTATTGATGTTCAATGATTTATGGATCCAGCCATACTTCGAAATCTGAGAAGGAACAGATCACGAAATCGGTCATAGATAGTCATAGTCCATCAAAAGGTACTTGGCACAGGGAATGAACTGAGACGGCATTGGATGTTCGCGAGTTCCGAGTGTGTCGAGTGTGTCCCTGTGACGGGTTCCGCAGAGGATGTCTCCGGACTTGGGGAATTCTCGGATTTTTTAAGCGAAACTGTGAGAAACTATGGGAAATGATAGGAAAAGAATCATGGCATAATTATGGGATTATTATGTGAAAATATTGGATGATTATAGGGGAATAGTTTCCATCTGACAGTGCCAGCAGGTTGCTGGATTGAAACATCTTCAGTTTTTGCATTATGCTGATCCCAAGTGACCATCTTAGGTTTAGGGTATCCTCTGGTAATTCAACAGTTTGACATGGAAAATCACCATGTTTGTAGGTAATGACATGATTCGGGGCTCAACCCTTATACAATACGTGATGTTGAAGGGATGAACATCCTGAAATCCCAGTGTTTTTGATGTATTTTGTGTTCACGTTTGGATGTTTAAAATGTTGACTCACTCTTCACAGCTCCATGGCTGGAACATGAGGTGTTTCTCAAAATGGGGGTACCCCAAGTCACTCGCAGTTTTCCTGCGAAAAAAACCGATGATCTGGATGATGAAGTTTTGCGGTCGATTGTCAGCGGCATATCCCCATCGATGTATATTGGTCAAACCGGCAGTTTCACTGTAAATCATGCTATTTGTTGGTTGAACACCCGCCTGAGCCACGTTCAAATCCCCATGTTGACTGGTTGAACTCGTTTTTTTTTTTAATTGTAAGTTAAATCCCAATATGTGTTTGTTAATGATTCTTGCGTTGGTTGAAGCGCCATGTTGGACAATCCCAAATCATGTGTTGGTTCCATTCCTAAAAGGCTCCTGATGTGGCAGAAGGCGGTGGCCCCCCTCAGCTAAGTTGGTTTACTGTAGAACTGCAATAACTAGGGTTTATCATCATAGATAGACCCGTGGTATATCACCAAAAACTCAAAAACCCAAACAAACTACATCAGCATAAACCCTAGTTACATAGTTACTGTACCAGTAGTGTCTAGAAAGCAAGAAACATCACTAGAGGATTTACATAGTGTCAAGTAATATTACTATTGTTTGGTGGTTTGGAACATTTTTTATTTTGGGAATAATCAATTGACTAATGTTTCTCAGAGGGGTTGAAACCACCAACCATATTATTATTATATTCCTATGAAATTTCCATTATGGCTGATTTAAATCCCTATGAATCACCGGGCCGGGCCTCATCTGACGGAAGATCTGCAGGTGTAAGACACCACTGGAATACCAAGATCTTGTGGCTGATCACATGGACAAGGTGATTCACTTGACGCAGCTGGACAGCAATATGTGAATGAGCGTGAGTGTAAAAGGGGGTGGGAACCTCAACCAGAAACATTATATATTTCCCATATATATAATATACATGTAAATACAATACATATTTATATATAATACATATACTATATATATACATAATTACATAATCATATACATCATTACATGATATTACATGACATGACATGACATGACATTTTTCCCCACCTGCCAGGTGAGGGTTGTTAGATTTTATGTCAGTTGCCTCCTCCTGCCTCCTCCTGCCTCCTGCCTCGTCCTCCTCCTCCTCTCCTCCTCTCCTCCTCGTCCTCCTCGTCCTCCTTGTCATCCTTGTCGTCCGTCCTCGTCGTCCTCGTCGTCCTCGTCGTCCTCGTCCAACTGCGACCCGCGATCCACAGTGTTCTCTGCCGGACCTCAACCACGACCATCCACGCCCAGTGTTCCCTGCCGGACCTCAACCACGACCATCCCCGCCCAGTGTTCCCTGCCGGACCTCAACCACGACCATCCACGCCCAGTGTTCCCTGCCGGACCTCAACCGCGAGTATCCCGCCATATGCCCGCCAGAAGATATGCCAGATAGTGTTAGAAGATATGCCAGATAGAATGCCAGAAGGTATGCCAGATAGAATGCCAGATAGAATGTCAGCTAGAATGCCAGAAGATATGCCAGATAAAGTGCCAGAATGTTTGCCAGATAGAATGCCAGCAGATTTGCCAGATAATATGCCAGAAGATATGCTAGATAGAATGCCAGATGGAATGCCAGAAGATTTGCCAGATAATATGCCAGAAGATAGAATGCCAGATAATATGCCAGAAGATATGCCAGAACATCTGCCAGAAGATATGCCAGAACATCTGCCAGAAGATATGCCAGGTAGAATGCCAGAAGATATGCCAGATAGAATGTCAGATCGAATGCCAGAAAATATGTCAGATAGAATGCCAGAAGATTTGCCAGTAACAAAATGTATAAATGTCATGGTGGGATCACACGAAGTAAAGTATTTTTAGCTTGGACTCCAAGGCGGAACCACAAGTTTGGTGCCCAAATTCCCCGTGAATTGGGCATTCATGGGAATCTGTTTTTTTTTGGGGGGGGGCGGGGTTGTTAGTGAATTCTCAACTTCCAGTGATTTCCTTGAAATTTGCATATAAGTGCCTGTGGATGCCTGTGGCACATTTTTTTTCTGGTTGCAAGCTGGATTTCGTCAGGTTTAGAGGTTGCCATATGTTTGTTTGAACATTGGGTTACCCAAAGTTTCATGGTCAATCATCATGTTCTCACATTTACACCCATGTTGCAATATTTTATGGGTATATATCATTCATCTCTGGACAAATCCAAAGATATCCAACGATGAAATATGGTTGAATCTGTATATCCAAAGATTTGCCTATGATATCCCTACTATGGTTGGTTTCATCCCCTCATATTTTAGAGCATCAGCCACCCCCAGTTCATTGTTTCCAGATTTGAGGCCCTACATAAATCGCAGCTGTCTCTTTGTTCTGAAGCACCTTGGGCTGCCAGCATTGGAACTCTTTCAAGGCCTTAACACTTGCAGTTTTGTTTTCCCACAAATGTTTGTCTGTTCACGACATACCCCTCTTTGTAACTGATTGGAAGCGGAAGATCCACCATGTTCCTCCAATCTTGTTTATCGTTTTCCCTTGGACAATTTGGGGATCCCCAACGGGTCCAACAGCTTTGATACGCCTTGATATCCTTCCACGATTTGGTGTGATGTGCCATCGCCACAAGGTTTAGTCAATGGTTCCAATGCTAGTTGGACCATTCCGGTCCTTTATCATCCATTGCGGATATTTATGGATGACAAGTGGTGTTCTGTCACATTTTATGTTTTTTTTGCCAATCTTCCAATCTTGGCCAATCCCAAGCCCCACAAAACCCTTGAATTTGTTGGTAAATGTACGGTTGAACCATCCTTTACTATACGGGAAAACCAAGGGTTTCCAGCTTTTTTTGACGCTAATTGACTCTAATCAATCCATTTACGGCTCTTCAAGATTAGATGTGGCTTCCTATCACAAACATGTTTGCGTATATCTGCAAATTGTTCATACCCGCCAAATCGTAAGCTTCATCGAGAAATCAATGGTAATTCAAGTACCTAAATTGGAGGTACTGTACCATATAAAGCCACATATTTGGGTCCTTACATGTGGTAGCTACCTCGGGTATTTCGCTGAATGGCCTCTGAGGAATTAGGTGATTTTCCGCAGGTGCCTGCCTGTTTTTACAGGAAATCCCATTTAATTACTAGTAAGAAACACATGGGTCTGTTTGAAAATGGGGTATACCTTCTAAATCTCAATTTAATATCCATTGAATAGTGAAAATCATCACAAACCATCAAATTTTGGGATATCCTATGTTCTGACATTTTCAGACAAACCCATATGAGAAAACATGTTTCTCTTAGGTTTTTACATGTATATTCAGCCCTTGTTTCCTGTATGGTGGTTCCTTAAAATGGGGCATCAACAAAACCATGTGTTTCAATACCAAGATGGTCTATATAATGACTTGGATGATTTGGGGTACCTATTTTCTAGGAAACCTCCACAACTCATACAATTTTCATCGGTTCCATCGTTATTTGAATGCTTTCCGCCATACATGTTTCCATGTTTCCTGTATATGTTTCCCTAACCAAATCCAGCGATATTGTTTGGTGGTTTCATCTCCACCCCCCTTTTTTGTGATGGTAAATATGGTACAAACATGTACAAACCATTGGTTTCCTGTAGGTTTTCCCTTAAACCAATCCAGATCATGCAGTATGCAGTGATTGAGGTACACATCGGTCTATGTTTGCTATCAGATGTTCCGACAACTGGGTCTGCGGCACCTGGCCGTGCTCGGGATGGACGGCTGTTTGGCGGGCATCATCACCAGGAAGGCGCGTGCTTGGGAAATCGTGGGGAGCACCTGGAAACATCGAGAGTTTCAGGACTTATAACCTCTGGTAAACTCACAGTTATTGAAGCCATGGCAGTAGAAATAGTTAATTTAG